CATTTCAATCAACATTTTGTTAACATTGGTCCAGATTTAGCTTCTAAGATACAACATAGTACTTCTGACCCGATAACACATATCAAAGGTAACTTTCCCGATTCTCTATTCTTAAGCCCAGTCACCGAGGAAGAACTATTTGATTGTATCAGTAAACTTCCAAATAAGAAGAGCTCTGGTCATGATGAACTTGATAATATTTTGATAAAAAATATTGCTCCTTTTATTGTTCACCCTTTAACAGATATTTTTAATCACTCTTTAATTTCCGGAGAGGTCCCTAATGAACTTAAAATTACTAAAGTTACTCCAGTTTACAAAAATGGTGATCGTTCCAATGTCACTAATTATCGCCCCATATCTGTATTGCCATGCTTCTCAAAATTATTAGAAAGGTTAGTTGCAAACCGTCTAGAAAAATTTATTGCTAAATTTAACATACTGTCACAATCTCAGTATGGCTTCAGGGCCAAATATTCAACTGAACTTGCCTTGATTGATTTAGTTGATAAAATAACATCTAGTCTGGACAAACGTGAACATACAATTGGTATTTTTTTGGATCTTTCTAAGGCATTTGATACAATAAATCATGATATTCTAATTAATAAACTACAAACATATGGTGTCAGAGGTACTGCACTCGAGTGGTTTAAAGATTACTTGAGAAATAGAAAACAATTTGTTGTCTGGCAAAATAAAAAGTCCAATTACAAACCAATCACATGTGGTGTACCTCAGGGCTCAATCCTAGGACCTATCTTATTTCTTATTTATATTAATGATATTTGTAATTCTACTCGACTTCTGACGTTCATCTTATTTGCAGATGATACAAATATATTTTACAGTAGTAAACATTTGAATGATGCTGTTGACATAATGAACAATGAGCTTACTAATGTATTTGAGTGGTTTGTATGTAATAAATTATCTTTGAATTTTAAGAAAACACATACGATGGTTTTTACAAATCGAATTGTAGATAAAAGTATTCAGATTCGTTTTAACAATCATCATATTGAAAAGGTTGATTCCTGTAAGTTTTTGGGGGTCATTATTGATGATAAGTTAACGTGGAAAAATCATTGTCAGAAAGTCCTTACACTTATATCTCGCAACCTTGGTATTCTTAGAAAACTTAGATATTTTGTCCCATCCCGTGTTTTATTTTCAATTTATAATACGTTATCCTTGCCTCATCTTCAATATGGTATACTTGCCTGGGGAAATACTCATAAAACCTACCTTGATAAATTGCTCGTTTTACAGAAGAAATCTTTAAGACTGATTAATGGTTCTAGTTTTAAGGATCACTCTGCCCCGCTATTTGTTAAGTTCAACACCTTATCTGTATATGATCTTTATAAATATAAATTGTGTGCTCTGATGTATAATTTTGAAAAAAACATACTGCCTTTGAATATTAAATCGTTTTTTGTAATGAACACAGATATTCATCATTACGACACAAGATCGTCAAATAAGCTTCATCTTAATAAAGTTAGAACATCTCTACACCTCTCAACTGTACGACACCAGGGGCCCCTCCTTTGGAATAAAATTCGATCTCTCTGCCCAATGACCTCAATTAGAGCATGTAAATTGTATTATAAAAAACTACTTCTCTCTACGGTTAATGTCAATGGTGATTAAGAGCAAAATTATTACTTTATTGCCAAGTAAAATTATTAACAACACATGTAAAGTCAAGGATGGTAAATTTCCCTCAAGTAACTTATTCTTTTTTTTTGGAAAGTTTTGCATGAGCTCGTGAATTTAATGTAATGTAATCACATATTATTGATATATCCTATGATTATTCATGAATTGTATAACTACATGTATTCTTTGTGAAGGGGGCAGACCTAGTACAAGCTTCGGCTTCTTGTCTGGCCTCCCCATACTATTATTTCAAAGTTTCGTTAAAATGTTTACCTGATGTATATTATTCAACTGAATTACCTTATAGTATGGAAATAAACCTGAAACCTGAAACCTGAAACCAAGGACCAACCTCAAACATATGTGAAGCAAAATTTGGTGCGGAATGTCTGACGTTGGTTTTTGGGGGGGGGTCAAGTTATCGTAAAAATAAACAATTTGCTTTTTGCAAGGGCTATATCTCATTCAATGAAGTTAATATAAGTGTAAGATTTTACACGAAAGTAGTTTCAATTGGGGGCTATTACAGGCAAAAAATTTGGTGAAAAAAATATTTTCAATTTTTGACTTACACCCCCCCGAACATTGGTCCAGATGAGTTTTGGGCCATTTTGGGGCCCCTCTAACTTAAAAATGAAACAAGCTACTTTCTTTCTGTTTAAATATTTGAAATCTACAGCAAAAAATAGCCCAGATTACCAAGTTTGAAATGTCTGGGTGGTATAGTTTTAAATACATGGCCCTTTAAACATTGAATTTCATGATGCGACGCACTTTTGGCCCCGCCCACCTCAAATTTCAAAATGCTGTTGCGCAAGAACGAAAAGTCGTAGAGACCCCAAATTTTCAGAATTTGCATTTCTCCTAAGTATCTTTCAGTGCACCAAAAAAGAAAAAAATCCAAGAGGTGATGGTGTGCACCATTTGTTGAGTTGGCATGGAATGACCCTATACATGTACTGGTACAATAGGTCAAGGCAATCTGCATGACTGGCCATGCACAGTAAACTTCTGCTATTTACAAAGTACATGTACCATGATTGTGTACTCAATATTTGCCAAAGAAAATTCCATCCCCTATGACTCCCTATTTTTGGCAAGGCCTACAATGCTTATTTTATTTTACAATGTGCAGTGCTTATTTTACATAATAGATAATTAATAAATAATTTTACAAGAAATAGACTGTATGGCACATATATGCTGACATGAAACAACCAGACCAACATACACCCCCTTCATTAGTACTGCTTTAATCAACTGTGTCAAAACAAACATCTGAAATTGGTCTGTATTTCTACTCATTTCTCCACAGTCTAATTGCCACCAGACTGCTGGACTAGAGGGCAGTCTTTTCAAACAGTTGGACCATGGTTGGACATGTCCCAGTCTAGTCTTTGGCCTCAAATTGAAATCGCTTGGCTTCACCCTCAGGTGCAACGTATACATACATATATTCAGGAAAAGTCTCCTTGAAATATTAAATTAACCCTAACTCCCTAGGGGGTGTGCACAATTATATTGAAATTGGAGGATTCAGGCTGTTAGGGCTAAGACTTGAAACTTGGCTGACGAAATACTGAGGATCTTGTCTTTGCCTCATAACAATTTAAGAGAATTTTGTCAGCTAATTAAGTTGGCATGAATTTGTTTTTCATGTTTTTTTCTGCACTCAAGGTCCCAGTCTTGGATCACGCCCAAATTAAGTCACGATATGCTACCAACATTAGCAATGCTGCAAACCTGGGAAATAGCAAACGGGGATCACTCGGAGAGTACGGCTTTATTACACACAAGCTGATTTACCCGATCATAGATCGGGTAGGGCGTATTTGTGTTGGGGTTGAAAATGTGGGGAGTTAAATGTAAATGGGGGATTTAGTTGAGAAGACATGCAGTTATACTATGGAAAAGCAACTTCTGTGGTGCGATATGAGACAATTTGTGACCACTACAACCAATTGTTTTGAGCAAAAGATCATCTTTTAAACATCATTTTCGAGTTTGGAGTCATTGAATCAGCTATTCTGAGCAATAAAATCATTATAGTAGGCTACAATTTTTTATCGGGGACAAAAAAGTTGGGGGGGGGGGACCAAACGATATGATATCCCCCACTTTAAAATGTGAGTGGGGGTGTCCCTCACCGATTGAGGCCCATGATAAATTTGTACCATGACATGTATACCCGTAGCTGTCTGTAAAGTTCCCCGTTGGTCTGTTAAATGGGCGTTTTGTAAGGCAGTCACATTTGTGGGAAAACGTAGTTGAAAGACTTACCATAGGACACAGGAGTGTCATGGCCTCGTGGAGTGTCATGGCCTAGCGGTTAAGAACACCGGACTCTGGTGTTCTGGTGTTTCAGCGGCAACAGTGGCGTGGGTTCGAGCCCGGGTCTGGACACTTGTGGCCTTAAGCAAGGCACTTAACCATTATTGCTTCCTCCTTTGGATGGGACGTAAAGCCGTAGGTCCGGTGTGTTGTGTAATGCACATTAAAGACCCCAGTAACACTTATCGCTAACAGAGAAGGGGTTTGCCCCGGTGTTTCTGGCAGTGGCTGCAATATGCGCCGCAGCACCTTGTAACCCTTAAAGGTGCTAGATAATGGGTCTCATATTTCTCATATTAAGGGCCTCCATGGAAAGCAGTGCCCTGCACTGATCGGAGCTACCCTCACTCATGTCACTAAAGATGACGTAAATAAAAAAATTAATAAATAAATAAAACAGGCGAAGGCTTATTGCTAATAAGTACAGTTTTGCTAATAAGTCATAATGCAGTAAAACGTGAATGTGCAACAGTCTGGGTATGGGCAATCAGACTTGTCGTTTACAATGAAAATGTTGAGTGTTACCATATTTTCAAGTAAACCACAATCAGGGGAATATGACTAGGTGTACAATAATTGTAAAGTTGAGCAAAGAAATTGGCTGGAGCAGAGTTTGAACCAGTGACATCTGGGCCCAATTACACGGCGCTGCTAAGCACACAATTTTTTGCTAACAGAGCCTCCATCTATTTCATGGAGACCGTAAGCATAAGCACAACTAAAGGCTTCGGAGGAAAAATTTGCTAAATTTAGTAACGTAACAATGGAAATCTCCATGCACGCGCGACCGTTAGCACACACAGGCCGTGAAATAGTGCTTAAGGTAAGCAAATTTTTCTGCGTTCACAACTTTTGTGCTAACTGTTTAGCAGCACGGTTAAATTGGGCCCTCAGGAATGTATCTTAACTTTTGATGGTTCTCGGCTTACTGTCATATTACATGTAAATAAAGGAAACCCCCAAAAATATGATTATTTTTTTCTTCTCCTTTTACATGTATGTAGGCCGTTTCACCTGGATACAAATGTCACAGCCACAGGCCCAGAAGTTAACGGCGTCTACACATGCCGTGTCATGGACAACAACAGGGTGTACAGCAAAAATGTGACAGTTATTGTAACAAGTAAGTCATGCTCTGCTGTGAAGTTTTTAAGTTACAGTGTTGCTCAACTCTTTTGTTCTTGGGACTTTAATTACCGTAGTGAATTTTGCTTCAAATAAAACCATACTGAATTTAGTCTCGTACCGGTAATGTGGGGAATATTTCTCTTGACAATTTTGGCCGTATAATTGTATGCTGACTTTACAAAATTTGGCAAACATGTCATTGATGATTGCCATATCTTTTGTGCAGATAATGGAGTTGAGATGGTTTTAAAAAAAAAATTAGGTATATATGGGGCAGAAAATGTACAAAAGTTGATGAACTAATTTTTTTGCAGCATAATGTGCATGTCATGCAAGGTGTTAGCTGGGTGATTTCTCATTATTTTTTTGTCAAAGAATAATTTAAATCTTCCACAGATATTCCGGATCCTTTCCTGGAAGCACCTAGCAACAAATCTGTGCTTCTTGGACACAGCGTGGAGTTCCGTTGCAGAACCAAACCCGAGGCTGGTACCCTGACCTTGGTGGTGGGGAACCAGAACATTAACCAGTGGCCAACAGATGGAGAGGGGAACCAGACTAGAGGCCAGTCACTGGTGGTCACGCAGAGGAACCAGACTGTTTCGATTGTCATTGAGAGCGTGCGATTTGAGGATGCGGGGAGATACAGATGCATTGTGGGCCACGAAGGGGGAAACGACGACGCTGTGGCAGATGCAGTGCTCACAGTTCAAAGTAAACAAATCTTTGTTAGAGTTAAATTTGGGGAATCCCTTTTTGAATACCAATTACAGTTTCCAACTGTCCCCCTGGAACTGGAAGAGCTACATGTACTTTTGATCCTCAACCAATCAGAATCAGCTTCAAAAGCTGTCACACCCAATCACTGTTTTTTCTTTTCCTGCTCTTTCAAGTTTAGAGAAGTCACTATTATAAGAAGCCACTATTATTATTATTTTTAGTAGTAGTCCATGTTGAGCACGTTTCAGGCAGCTTTACAGAGATTTTCGGTTTATTTCATAATTGTTGAAAAGCTTTAGAGATTGCTTTTACAAGGTGTTATATTTATAGCCTACATACTAATCATTTATGCTAAATAATGCTTTTGAACAAGTTGAAAGGCAAGCTATAATGATAAAATGTATGTACTGGTACATGTATGCATGAATTGTATGACTTGTATCTTTAATGCTGATTACCCAAGATAACTTATTGTCAGAAATTTGCCAATAGTGTGCATGTGGTCATAAATACATGTACATGTAAGCAGGGGTCAATTTCATAGAGCTGCTTAAGCACAAAATTTTCTTAAGCACAAAAACGTCTTGCTTAATAAAATCAGGTTACCGGCCAAAACTCCATGCGATTGTTATGCTAAGTAAACAACAGCTAAATACCAGTCACAAGCAATGTACATCACATGGAGTTTTGGCCGGTAACCTAATTTTACTAAGCAATTTTTTTTCGTGCTTAAGCAAATTTTCTGCTTAAGCAGCTCTATGAAATTGGGCCCATTGCAAAAAGTACCATACCTCTGTGAAATTAAAGTGGTAAAGCCCACCACAAGTCCATCACAAATCCTTGTCACAATTAAGTACTCAAATGAATGATGTGACCAAAGTACCTGGTACATATATTCCTTTGTTATTGTTCATCAACTGGTACATGTAAGTTTGTGACTGGATGTGTGGAATGGCTTGAGGTTTTCTTTTGCCCAGACTTGTGATGGACACCTTCTCTCTGTACATTTTCACAGGCCCGGGATCAGAGCCTTTTGTTGCAGACTTGACATCAGGAGCCGATCTATCAGGGAGCGTTGTGAGTTTGCGTGAAGGTCAGCTGCTCAACCTAACATGCGCGGTGCGAGAGGCTTACCCAGAGCCACGCTTGGTATGGCTTATTGGACATGAGGACTTCACGGCGAAAGCTAAACTGCGGTCCAGGTATATATTTGAATTCCATCATTGACAGTTTCATTATACATTGTAAGTTTTCATTTATTTAACTGAATTATACTAGTATGGCCTAGTAATTGTATGGGTTTGTGAATCGTGTTCAGAGGGTCAGGGGTTCAACTTTAGCTGCTTGCAGTATATTTTGTCCTTGGGCAAGCCACTTTACCCTTTCTTGTCTCTCTCCATCCAGGAGGTCAAATTGGTTTCATGAGCTGTAAAGTATAACCTGCGATGTCTTTTATGCAAAACAAATAATAATGGTATTAATAAAAATGGAGACTTGTAATGCGCCATGTCTGTCACATAGTGACACTCCTGGCGCAGTTTTTCACTGGATAAAATGCCAGCTTTTCACTGGATAGAATGCCAGATGAGATGGACTTCATTTGAAGTCCAACATTCATTTTATAAACTGACTTGTATGTTTACTTTATTGCAGTTTTTGTTTCCTTTTAAGTAGAAGGTTTCAGTTTCGCTTGATTTGAATGTTTTCCGTCCACAGTGTTTTTCTTTCTTTTTTTTCTTTGTTTTTCTTTTCAATTTTTAATTTTCTTGTGGGTGTCATTGTGGTACTCAGGTCTAGTACAAAATATTTCCTTTTTTTCTGAACAAAAATGAGCTACTAGCTCTTTATCAATTCATGTGTGTTATTCATTTTGGCACTGGTCTTGTAAAAAACTGCTTGCTTTAACTGAAGACAAATGAGCTGCAGGGCCCGTAATCTAGTTTATTGGCGTTCATTAATGACCTGTTCTGTCAAAATCAGACTTTTCTGGGCATAAGGTCAAAAATGATATTTTTGCATATTGTTAAAATATGTTCTGTTTCCTTTTAATAGGTGGTTTAATTTTTGAAACCGGTCATTCCTGCGCAAAGTTATGCTATTTTGAAGTTCATTGGGTCGAAAAGTAGAAACAGAGAAAATGGACACGAACATCACAAAACAGACATTTCTTTAACTGATATACCTTAACAAATCATCAAAAATACTATAATTAGAGATCAAATTAGGGTTTCAAACTGTTATAGTATATTTTAGACATGCTCAGGATTACAAATATGCAAAAATTAGAAAATGGAAAAAAAATCACCCCCACAGCGTTTTTTGGCCCTATCTCAATTTCAACCTCTGCCCAGAAGTGTCTGCTTTTGACAGAACAGGTCCTGGGCTTGCAATTGATGTTACATGAATAATGAGTGCAGTGGTAAGAAGAATTTAAGAGGTGACTGTTCCATCTGGCACTTGACGAAATAATTATTCTTTCCATTCAACATTCATTGTTTTGTATTACACCTGAAAATACATGTATCTGCATCATGCACCTCCAATTACGTGACTATGCAGTGGAACTTCTACCGTATTTACTGTTGAACGAAACTTATAATTTTGAAGTAGGCCGGGCCATACCGGTACCTACATGTGTACATGTATGACCAGGATTTATTCGGGTGTTGCATCAGAATTTTTTGCACAAACTCAGTTTGTTTAGGCGAAGTAAAAAAAACAAACATGTTTCTCGTCCCCGCCCGCTTCCTTTTTGGAGGCCACCTGGATTTGTTTAATTATTTTTTATTTTTGAAAAATGCAATAAAAAAGCACCGAAAAAGTCCAGGGTTAAAGGAAATGTATCTAAAACTGTTCATTGTAGACCAATACAACTCTAAATGACACTGTAAATATATTCAGTTCTCTTCTCCAACTTGTCTTTCATTTTAAAAGTGTCTTTGAACAGTGGAAACACCAACGGTTACAGGAAATTTTATAATGGCGGCCATCTTGAAAAAAATAAAAAATAAAAAGCCCCTCTTCCTCCTTTTTTTCAAAAACACGGACGAGAAACATGTTGTTTTTTTTTTATTTGGCCTTACCTGTAAACAATTGTTTTGTATCTCCATATTTGTGCTGCAGACCTTCAGCTAATGGTGTGTCCTTTGATGTTGAAAGCGACCTCATTTTCGCCCCAACCTGGCAGGATGATGGCAAGACCATATCATGTGTTTCTGATGTGGCCTCCCTTGGGACAGTCTCAAGCCCCGATGTCATCCTCAATGTGTCATGTAAGCACGGATCCTAGACACCAGGATAAATGACTGTTCTGAGCTCTAGTACAAAATGCACTCAGTGGACTTGCCTTAATTGGTTAGACGCGTGATAACGGGCATTAAGACCCGTTGGTGCGTAATCGCGAATTTTCCAGATGTGCCATTGTGTTTGGTTTTTGCACGACATCTAAAACGGAAATATTCATGAAACTGTAAGTAAAACTACTTCTTATTTAAGATATAGTTGTTCCACATTATTTAAAAAATAAATATATAACAGATGGTATTGTGCAGTTTTTGTCGTCATAGATGAAGTATTTACCCGGGAAGTAAACGTTAAATTTCGAGGAGAACACCGTTTACCCAAATTTCGTTTTTAATTTTTAGAGAGATAGGATGCCGAACCGATGAAACGAAAGCGACATTTCATTGTTCATCTTAAAGCTAAAGATATTGTGCTCGGCGTTACCATGGTTATGTAGTTATCACTTATCAGAATTCAATAATAAAGACCAAAAACGTAGACTCATGAATATTCAAAAATATAATTTGCTGGCTTGACAGACTTCGAGGCCAGATCGGGCGAAGAGCCTTGCAAATCTGAAAGCCACCGCGCGCAGTGGTCTTTGTTGAAAAGTATTCATGGTATTTGCCACCAGTACAGGCCGTTATCACACGTCTAACCAGGAGTAGGGCCGAGTCGTTAATCCTTGTGTGTAGGATCCGTGATGTAAGCTCTCATTAGCTGGCTGGCTTAACCGGTCTGGCAATAGTCTTGGCCCAAGACGCTAGTGATCCATAGTGGATGGTGCATGGTGCGCCCTCTATGGCACAACAATTAGACCAGCGGGCCTACTCGCACTTAGTCTATGTAATAGACTCAGTGCCGAGGCAAAAGCCATGGTCTATTACATTTGAACAGATTCGCTGATTAATTATGCAAGACAACCGCATCTTGGCCTTCGGCCTTGTGGTATTTGAGATACAGACTCATCACTTTATTATTCTGTGTTCCAATCGCTCATGGTGTAACTTATAATATTTGGGAGATACAGATGCCAATCAGTTCTGATATTTCACAAAAATGTGGCATTTGACAAACAAAACCTCTCAACTCGTATGTATGATGTGTTGCTGCAACCTACTTTTGGTACACAAGGTCTATCCGCTCCATTCACAAGTAACCCCCCCCCCCCCCACCACCACCACCAGCAAAGAAACTATACAGTTGGGGGTGACTGAACGACGCCATCTTGCCTGACTGTAATATTTTGCTACGAATCGTTGCCACTAGCTGCGTTGTGCATAGTAAAAATTCCCTGGTGTATGTGCGTCACACACAAGGAACGGGTGCGCAGCAAACGTTTGTGTCCTGCCAATGGGACGTCGTTGCTTGGTAAAAGGGCGCCCTCTTTGTTGACGCACAGAGCCCATAGCGAGTGCAGTGAAACCATAAAAGCAAAGATTGCCATACAATGGGTTCATCATTAAGCCAAAATATTTATTTTAATGATGTCTTAATTTTATTTGCACATCCATAGATGTTCCCAAGGTGTCCATTTCCCCACGTGAGAAGACCATTCAGCATGACGAGAAGCCGCTGTTCACATGCTGGGCGCCGGCCAAACCGCCGGTCACCAGCTACAACTGGACCCTGCAACAGAAGAACGGCAAGGTCATCCAGCGGTCCACTGGGATGTAAGTTTAGTTTCACTTCAAATCTCTCGCTTGTCCAGCAGCCGCGTTTTCACGAAACAGTGCGTAACGTACGCCGTGCACAGGATTTAAGCAACAAATTTGTTGCGCAGCTGCGCAATATACTTATGATCAATTGCAGGAAACTTGGCGTGGCTGATGATGCATAACATTTTTAAATAATTTAAATATCTTGGACGAGGATAATAACAGCCTTTACGACACTGTTTGTGTATTATTTGTATACTCATTCAATCACCTCCACCTGTCATTTTGAAAGTAATTTTGACAAACTTCGGAATCGTGCGTCAACTCTAACTGGCATTCAGTTATTCCAAGTTGCAACACTCGTGGCTCACAGCCAACTGACACACCTGAGCGAGCAGGACGCTCAGCGGGCATCCCTCAACACAATGCCCAAGGCTCACAGCCAAATGACACAGTCGAGCGAGCAGGACGCTCATCAGGGATCCCTCAACACAATGCCCATGGCTCACAACCAACTGACACACCCGAGCAAGCAGGGCGTGCCCAGCAAGCATTCCCAATCCTAACAAATCCTACTTAAGGAGTAGTATCTCCAACTATCTTCAGTCTCCTGACAATGACTAGAGCAGGCTAGTCGAAACGTTGAGACCAAAGACAAGTTCGTTTAGAACTTACAGCAGGACTGTTCTTAACAGAACAAAAAAAACAAACTTTAAGTTGATAATAAGCAGGACAAGTTCTTTTCAGAACTAATATCTTCTAAGCAGTAGTTATTACCACATGGTGTTACCGCAAACCAAAACGATACCGATACCCCACCATGCAAAGCTTCAAATCTTATAACTCTAAAAATGCTGTCTCATGTAAACGGCTCATAGTGTAGCTACATTCTTCAACAAGTTTGGAGTCCGCAGACCAGCTGAACTCCTTTCACATGCCTCAGGAGACTGCTTGGCATCAAATGGCAGGACAGGATCTCTGACACAGAGGTTCTGCAGATGGCTTAAATGACAAGCATTCCAACACTTCTCAAGAGGGCCCAACTCAGATGGACGGGGCACTTGGGACGTCTGATGAGCACCTACCAAAGAGGCTGCTCTATGGTGAACTGAAGGAGGGAAAGTGCTCACAGGGGTGTGGGGGGGGGGGGGGGGGGGGTTGTAGACTGAGAAAGCGCTTCTAAGACAGCTCACCTAAGCAGCAATTAACGCGCACAGCTTGAGCAATGCGCCCAATGTAAGCAATGCACTGCTAAGTCAACAATGTGCACTAATGTAAACAATGCACTGGTAAGTCAACAATGTGCACTAATGTAAACAATGCACGGCTAGGTCAACAATATACACTAAGTAAACAATGTACACTAAGTAAACAGTGTACACTAAGTGTACACAGAGCGCGAGCAATATACGACCTTACCGTCCGCTGTCCACAGCACAACTCCTCCGCGCGATAACGTGAATAGCCCTCATGTGAACATGCATACGCCGCACAAACACATATGCATGTACTAAACCTATGGACCTAAGGCAACCAATAGCGTACGCGCAATCAGCCACTGGGCTCTTACGCTCCGCCCAGTCACCAACACACAGTGAATTTACGTTGTTGCAATAGGAATGACATAGTAAATAAACTAGCTATAAGTCCCTACACTTTCCGCTACACTATCGTTGAACGCCTTGACCAAGGCTAAGTAAATGGTGGATTATTATTTCCCTTCATTTTTTAAAATGTTTTTGTTTTTCATACTTTGCTGCTCCGGTCCTAGGTCAGTGAGAGTACCAGCTCTAGACCCAGATCACAACATGGCCACCCTCACCTGCTCTGCAACAAATGAGTATGGCACCAACAACAGCAAAGCAGTCATCAAAGTATTTGGTATGCACAGCGCCCTCTCTAGTTTATTGTCAAAAGGTGGCAGGCAGGAAATATAAAATGTACAACTTGACTGTAAAGATGCACGGCTGTCCTCTTTTTGTTTTTCTTGAGACAAATTGCCCACATTGGTGTTTCATTTTAATGAACATTTTAATGTTTCCGTCGTGGCCATCTGCAACTCTCTGAAAAAAGTCGACTGGCTCCCGGTCCCTACATTTTAAAATCACAATAGGGGGTGGGAACCAGTCTACCCTGTGTGAGCTGATTGACTGTTGTGATGAAGTACATGTAAACAAGGGCGGATCCAGAACACAATTTTTTTGGGGGGGGGGCCAAACAAAAATTGTGTCTCCCAAAAAATTTGTTGGATTCTCGATGCTCTGTGGTGCAATCTGAGGCAATTTCTGACCACTTTAGCCAATGTTTTTGAGCAAAAGATGGCGGTGTACTCATTGCCTGCCTTTATTGCGACGTCACATAAAAAAAAAATATTGGTTTCGTTTTGGGGGGGGGGGCATGGTCCCCTTTGGCCCCCCCCCCTGGATCCGCCCTTGCATGTAAATATTCTGTGACTAAACATAGACCAATTTTCGTTTGTTTGTTGTCTCATTCAAAAGTGAATGATAGCTGTTTTTTGCATTACAGATGACCCTGATGATGACGTGGAGGTTCCCTGGGTCATCATGATATCAGCCCTGTCAGTCCTTGCTATTCTCATGGTAGTCATGCCCATACTCATCTACAGACACCGCGGCAAGATACAGGACCTCTTCTTCAAGAACAAGAAGAAATCAAATCAAGGTAAAAATAAACACAAGAGAGCAACTCAGTTCAAGATGCTATTTGAGGAATGCTCACAGGTATCATGAGAAAATTGGGATTGAGTCCATTTAAAGGTAGAGTAGTTAATCATTTGCAGAGCTCTATCCAAAATGTGAGGGACCAAAGGGTACCGTTAAAAAGCTTACCTGGTTTAAACATAGTAATGACACGCAACTTCCTGTGAAAATAATGATTAATATTATTTCATCTTGGTTTTTTTTGACAAATGATTAAGTTAAAGGCATTTACTAATGTGTTTTTTTTTTCATTTTTTTTTTTTTAAACATAAACCATGTTTGTGAATATGGATAATGAAAATATAGATATCAAACAAACCAAAAATCATATACATGTACATGCAGAATCACTTTTTGATGATTTTGTCCTCATTAGCAACAGCAGCTCACACGTTTTTGCAATACCTGACTACCCTTTTTTGTAGAGCCAGTCACATAGCATCCCTAATTGCTGACTGACCAAGACAAACAGTAATGCGACCCGGGGGGGGGGGGGGGGGACTTTTCATGTTGCATATCCCAGATCCACAAAAGTGTCTAAATCTTCAATAGATACTTTCATTACTTTCCATGTGTTTTGTTGAAGTGCATAATGAAAACTTTGATAAGAAACTTTGACTATTACATAAAATCGTAAGAATTTCTTGTGTTTTATTGACTTCATTGAACAGAAGGCAAGTCACATGACGTCTTTGTGGCCTACAAAGGCGGTGGAGACGAGGAAGAGTTTGTGATTCATTGTCTGGTACCCAAGCTCAAGGAGTGGGGCTGTGATGTCTGTGTGCATTATCAGAACTTCCTACCCGGGAGAGGTAATTAAAAAAGGAACCAGTCTGATTTATGCCTTTGACTTTTCTTACTATGGCTGGGAATATTAACTCTTTCAGTGCCCGCGAAAGTTTAACCCTCAAGTGCCCAACTTCGAGCGTTTTTTGTTAATTGTTCAAAATTCTGTTAAAAAAAAAGGAAATAAGTTTTACTCACTAAATTTGTTGTTGTTGCTCTCTGGTATATCCTTGGTATATTGGAAAGTCAATAGTAGTCGAATACATAGTGATACACCCTGAAACACTGTCCTGCACACAGGGGAATTCCGCACTTTTTGCCCAAAATACGAGTTTTAGTGCTGCGCCCTCTTGCAAGAACTCGAATAAAGAAATAAATACAGGTCGTACATGCATGAAAATGGTACCATTAGAAAGAGCGAGAGCGCCCCCTTTTGATAACATGTTTACTCTACCTCGCACATGTACGAGGTTTGGCGATTTTAATCATGAACATTACCTCGTACATGTACGAGGTTGGCGCTTTCGTACTAACAAATATACCTCGTACATGTACGAGTTTGGCACTAACTGTAGAAAGTGCAGTGTCAAAAGCCCAAGCTGAAACCAACATTAGACAGCTATATATTGGATTAAAGCTATAGTCCATCATTTGCAGCCATCCGAAAAGTAACTGGCGTAATTATTGTTGAAAAACATACATGTACTTGGTTGAAAGATAGTAAGGGGACTAAACTCCCTGTGAAATTATTCTTTCTGGCAAGCTGTCATTTTGAAGTAATCAACGAAAGAAGGACTTTCCAACAGTGTGTCTTAAGACGAACCGTAGGAAAATTTAAATTAGTAGTTCGTTTTGTTATTCGGCGAAGCGCGCGCAAGCATTGGCACAACGCACACGCGCGCGGTTGCTAAAATTTGTCGGATCAGTGTGCGACATCGCGTATAGCTGCAATCGGCTCAGTGAGAATTCAGGCCCATTTCAAAACATGATTCAGCAACTTTTGATTTGAAATTGAGATCCTAGAATGCTGTTTTTCTCGGAATATACAGCTGAAGCTGAGCTGAAACTTTATCAGGTTAGTTGTTCAGTATCCTTCATTAGATTTGAACACTTTTGTTGCTTCAAACGAGCAAAATGCACAAATTACAAATGATGGACTATATCTTTAAGTCTTACAGTCTGTGATTTGCAGCGGAATTGAGGATTTGCATCCACAAGACGTCCCGTGAACGGTGCAAGATCTGCCATTTTGGAAGTCTAGCATGCTTGATCAATCATACAGAACATTGCATTGTTGGTAATGTGCATGTTCTGCAGTTTTTGTCACTGTCAATATCCGATTTTTCTCCCAAAAGTCATTAGTTACCCCCCCCCCCCGAAAAAATTGGAACACTGAGGACATGAAAGATGATGAAATAAGCTTTAATTTGATATGTGACTCAAACACCTTATAGAGTTGTGAGTATTTTTCCTCAGATTTTCGGAAGTGGGCCTATTTATCACCAGGGTCTATGGCGGCTTATTTAATAGACGTCCAATATATGGTGGGCGTGTGAGTGACCACTGACCTGTGAAATCACGTGAGATTCCTCAAAAGGCTATTCTAGTGACCATCTGTTTCTGAGTTGGTAACTCCCTCTTGTGCATGTCACTCACACTCTCGAAATTGATACATGTAAGTTATTGAAACGAGCAGCAAACACCAGTTTTGTTGGAGTATCGAATCCATCCAAGCATGACCGTGACGCAAATTTCCTTTTTTTTTGTGGGGGCAATAATGCACCTGGGGGAGGGGGAGGGGGAGGAGGGGGCATTGGAAATTTGTGGGGCCTCATGTGCCACACCAGGCCTCCACAATCCTTTGCCTTAAGATTTTGAACGATTAATTTTGCTTCACACAAAAGAAACTGCAACTGATCGTATGTACCGCTAAGACTCACTTTGTGTGTTCATTTTCAGAAATTGTTGACAACATCACGGCTGCCGTCGGCAGCTGCCGCAAGACGCTCCTGGTCTTGTCCCCGGACTTCATGGCCAGCGAGTGGTGCTACTTCGAGTTCTTGTGCGCCGTGGACGAGATGCTGCGGAACCAGACTAACTTCATCATCCCGCTGATGTTCGGTGACATCCGCAATGAGGAGCAGTGCCACAGCATGCGCAATCTTCTGGATACCGTCTCGTTCATCCCGTGGCCGACCGGAACCAGTCATCAAGGGCAGACCGATGAATTCTGGAAGCTGTTGAAGAGGGCTGTGGAAACGGAGTTCAACGTGAACAAGGAAGAGAGAACAGGCATGACAGGGGAGTTGGAGGAAGTCAATAATAACATGGCAGATGAAAGGGATGACAACGTTTATCTCATTTAAAGCTAGACTCCATCATTTGCAGCTATCCAAAAAATGACTGGCGTAATTATTGTTGAAAATCATACTTGGTTGAATGATAGTAAGGAGACTAAACTCCCTGTGAAATTATTCTTTCTGGCAAGCTGTCATTTTGAAGAAATCAACAAATGAGGGCCTTTCCAACGGTGCGTCTTAAGAAGCACCATTGGAAATTTCCGTTAGTATTTCGTTTTTTTATTCAGCAAAGCACGCGCAAGCGTTGACACAACGCACACGCGCGCGCAGTTGCTGTAATTCGTCAGATCGGTGCCCCACATCGCGTAGCTGCAATCGTCTCAGTGAGAACGTGTCTCGGACGCTGAAATTCAGGCCCAATTCAAAACATGATTCAGCAACTTTTGATTTGAAATTGAGATCATAGAATGCTGTTTTTCTCGGAATATACAGCTGAAGCTGAGCTGAAACTTCATCAGGTTAGTTGTTCAGTGCCCTTCTTTAGATTTTGAGCACTTTTGTTGCTTCAAACTTACAAAATGCACAAATTACAAATGACGGACTGTACCTTTAATAGTGAATAAAACTGCTGCAAACTGCTTTCTGACTGGATTGACCTAACATATTCAAATCCAAGAACTTCTGACGGCCTGATGTTGCGATCTTAACAAGATTTTTGTTTTTTGCCTCTGAAGATTATTCAAATCTGCTAAAGAGAAGAAAAAAAATCTTGCCGATCCACATCATGTGAGTAAGGTCTTTCATTGATCGTTTTGAAGTTCCTGTTGCCCCATGCTATTTTTCTGAAGTTCCCCCAAACAAAAAAAGACATGTACATGTAGATTTTGTTTTTAAATGCTAGTTTTTCTAGCAGCGACAAGTTATTCACCTTTGAATGAGAAGTCGAATGAAACAAATTGCCCATGTTTTGTTATGGAGTAGTTACTTTTGAAATTTTGAATAATTTGCAGCCCGTCCGTAAGACAAAAAAAAATAGTATTCACCTTGTCTGTACACAAAAAAAAACCAGCCAAAAGAAAAGAAGAAAATTTTAAAAAAACATTGCTGCATGAATTCCATAATTTTGGTTTGACCAGAGCTTGAATATTTTTTTTTTTTGCCCAAATTAGGTGGACCTCTGGTGTGCATAGAGATGCATTAGACATGTTAGATGGAAAAAAAAAGAAGAAATGGAAATAACATATTACATGTGAATTGAAAATTCATTTTGAGCGAAAAAGTCTTCAAATCTTGGCCAAAAACAGTTTTGCTCTTTTGATTGGCATATCTGCATTTTGCAGCCCTGAAGAGCAAATGGCTGGTGTTACTATTTGATAAGTACTAAAACGTTTCTTCTGATTGTATATTTGTATGACTTTTACACAGTTCCACACGACATCTACTCTTGTAATATTTCTTATGACATGTATATTTGTATATTTATTACTTTTAAAATAAAATTGCATTTCCCGTGACCGCTTTTTGAGTTTCATCCCCCAAAAAACAAATTTTCTAAATGACAATACAATTTTATTCACTTTTGATTGAGACATCTAACCCCCCCCCCAAAAAAAAATGGCCGACGTTTAATTTATAGTGAATTTGAGTACTTTACAAATTAGTCGCGGCCCGACAATAATTCCATTCTCGCTGGGTTTGTTGGTTCCCGTCTCACAGTCAGTATCGATAATGGACTGGGAACCAGCCTGCTAGCAAGGGGGTTCTGTTTTTGCCTAAAATATATCCCTTTTTTTTCAGAGGGTTGCAGACGCCCAAGTAAAACGAGGTGTTCTTGTTTGGAATAGCCTACAAGTTGAATTTGTGGAAGAGCACGGGTACAGTAATTTAATGTGGGTGTCTTTTTTTTGCTTTTAAGGTCCCAGGTGGATGCATAATGAAATATACTACTGGAGTCTTATATAACGCAGGTACCGGTATCTTCCAACAATTAGGTACTCGAGGCGCTGGAAATTATGTCTATTATTTAATATTAGAGACAGGTAAATGAAAATTTTATGAGAAATATGAGACCCACTATGTAGCACCTTATAAGGGTTTACAAGGTGCTGCGGCGCATATTGCAGCCACGGCCAGAAACACTGGGGTGAACCCCTTCTCTTAGCGATAAGTGTTATTGGGTTCTTAAACGTGAGTTACACAACACGCGGGACCTATGAAGCAATAATGGTAAAGTGCCTTGCTCAAGAGCACACCATGTTCCCACAGTCAGGGTTTGAACCCATGCACCACAGCACACGAGTCTAACACTGTAACCATTGGTCCACAGCACCCCACATTAGTTTAATACAATCATACTTTGAAATCTGTTTAGTTATCATGTGTTATGATATACATCTGTTGTAAGTTATTCTTAGCACTTATTTAAAGTGCATGCCAAATTTTGCAGCTGTAGAAATAATATATTCTGCTTGAATTTAAGTTTTAAAGTTAGGTTTTGTTAACTTCTTGCTTGCCTTAAAACTTGGTAACAAAAAAAGTATATTTATATTGCTGAATTCTACACATACTGAGCAAACGTATGTTACAAAAAAAGTCCTGTAGAAATAATTGTAAAAAAAATATATCTATTTTCATACTCGTTCATAAATTAGAGATTTTTTTCTATATCACATGTTATCAGAAAACAAATTGGAAGTTGTATAATTCTGCAAAAATGGCAATATACTTTGGAAATTTTCGACATATGTATATTTCGGTACTTTTGCTGTGGCATGTTTTTATATACTACATTTGCTTTTTGTATTAATAAATTGCATGCAGCAGGATTATATAACCAAAATGCACTTTCATTATGGTTCATATTTCCTTGGTGAAAAAGGTTGTAAAAATATTTTTTAACAAAATAAATTAGATAGATTTCTGTTTGCTTGCCAAGTTATATTTTTATATTTCCTTATCCTTCTCAAAACATGACATTTAGAGGTCTATTTTTTGTAATGCTTATCTGCTAATACTCAGACAGCACTTCTATATCCCTGTACTGCTGTCTAAGTTGTAAAATGATAGAAATATTTAGAAGTTATATAATTCTGAAATTGCTTATCAACAGTTTTTTTATGTGTATATTTTTGTTATTGTGCCACAGTGGATTTGTAAATGATTAGTACCTTTAATGTTGTAAATTTGAATACTTTTGTTACTTTTGGAACTACAGGGTGACCCAAAAAGAAAGTGACAAGAGTTAGAAAAAGATAACATTGGCATTAAGTACATGTTACTGACTAGTAATCCGTCTGAACATTTCACGTAATTTACATACTCTACTCACAAGTGATTTTTATTTCGACAGAAATACCGCAGAATTCATCATTTACCGATACGCATTGATGAATACCCTTTAAATACAATGAACTAAAAAATTGCCAAGGAAAACAGACCCAAATCACCATTTTCATTTCAGAAAAGATATGAATTATTCCTCCTATGCAAAACACAAAATCTGACAGTAAAAACGTTTCAGTCTTGACTCAAATTATATTTCTTATTTTGAAGTTGAATGTCTGGGTGTAATCTCTGGGCCCAATTTCATAGAGCTGCTTAAGCATAAAATTTGCTTAAGCACAAAAAAACCCTTGCTTAATATAATCATGTTACCGGCCAAAACTCCATGCGATGTACATTGCTTGTGACTGGTATTTAACTGTTGTTTACTTAGCATAACAATCGCATGGAGTTTTGGCGGGTAACCTGATTATATAAAGCGAACTTTTTTTTTGCTTAAGCAAAGTTTTTGCTTAAGCAGCTCTATGAAATTGGGCCCTGGTTCTCACTCAACTGAATGGTTTCAATGCATTTGGACAGTTGTAAAAACTAGGTTCTTTCAAAACATGCATAACTTCCAGAGATGCCAACCATTACTCTTTTGGAGTAATTATTAGGATTTTGAGGCATGTTACTACTCTTGAAAATTCCAGCTGTCCTATACGTCAACATTGTGGTTACTGTGGTTTCTCTTAAGGCCAAAAAACCCCAAAGTCTCCGGTTTCTGGTATGGAGCTTGCCCAAAAAAGTGGTGTGGCGACGCGGCTTTTTTTTTTTTTTACCTGATTTTTTTGCTTCAAATGTCTGCTGATGACTGCAAATGGTGCCCGACTAAACTTAGTGCAAATATATGGGAGTCCAGAGAAGCCACATAAAGCTTATTCTCTACCATAACCCAATCTAAAAACACGTTAAAATTGTGCAGCAGCAGGATTCCAGTCAAACCAGTGAGTTTGGCGGTTTTGAGACATCATCTTTCATTGAAAAAAAAACTGTTTTCATTTTGCCGACGCACATGGCTACGGCGACGCGCGCGCATACCAGAAACCGGAGACTTTTTTGTTTTGGCCTTAACTTGACTGTTGTCCTATGTATTTACATTAGCATTACTCTTTGCAGGAAGAATCATTACTATTTTGTAGTCTGTAAAGTTGGCATCTCTGTAACTTCTGATGGCAAGGATCAATTTGAGTAATCCTTTTTTTTTCTTCAGATGAGTGGAAAACATGCTCGTCTAATACCTGCTTCATTGGTGTATCAAATTTAATTGCTTTTTAAGGGCGAGACATAATTAATCCTGATCACTTTCTTTTTAACTCTCCCTGTAATATTAATGTATTCTTTGATACTTTTGCATATACAGATTTGTATACTTTGGTAATTTTACTGTTGCAGATATTGGGTTGTGTCTCACTTTTGTCATTGTAGTTTTGTCTACTTTGATACTTTTGAGGTAGTTGATATATAATTGTTGGTACATTTGCTGATGCAGATTTCAAGACTAGTACTTTTGCAACATAGATTTGTATACTTATGTTTCTTTTTAATTACGCTTTGCCAATTTTGTCATTGTAGATTTATCTAGTTTGATACTTTTGAGTTAGTTGTTATATGTAATTATTGCTGTCTTTGCTGATGCAGCTTTGAAGACTAATAGTTTTGCAACATACTTTTTGTATACTTATTTTACTGTTGTGGATGTGACGCTTTGGCGATGTTGTCATTGTAGACATGTCTAGTTAATCGTTGATACTTTTGCTGATGCAGATATTAGGTTTTGTCCACTTTTATCATTGTAGTTTTGACTACTTTGATATTTTTTAAGATAGCTAATATGTACTTGTTGGTACCTTTGCTGATGCAGATTTGAAGACTAGTACTTTTGCAACATAGATTTGTATACTTATGTTTCTCTTTTAGATATTACGCTTTGCCAAGTTTGTCATTGTAGATTTATCTAGTTTGATACTTTTGAGTTAGTTGTTATATGAAATTATTGCTGACTTTGCTGATGCAGATTTGAAGACTAGCACTTTTGCAACATAGATTTGTATACATGTACTTATGTTTCTGTTCTAGATATTACGCTTTGCCAATTTTGTCATTGTAGATTTTTCTAGTTTGATACTTTTGAGTTAGTTGTTATATGTGATTATTGCTGTCTTTAAATTTGCTGATGCAGATTTGAAGACTAGCACTTTTGCAACGTAGATTTGTATACTTATTTTACTGTTCTAGATTTTACGCTTTGGCGATGTTGTCATTGTAGACATGTCTAGTTAATCGTTGATACTTTTGCTGATGCAGATTTGAAGACTAGATTTCTGTACTTATTTTACTGGTATATAGATATTGCTTTGGCAATTGTGTCAGAGTATAATGTATAGATTTGTATTCTGTCTTGCTTTAAGCATATTTTAACAGTAATACATGCTTCCCACTGAGTTTAACAGGAGTAAAGGAAATGCCTTGAACAGTCTGCACAAATCAAAGAACTTGTGGAATTTGAATGTTCCTTTGATCAGTGATACGCCATTTGCGAGTGACCTTTACCCTTTGTGATTTAAATTTGAAAAACATCTGGTACACTGACTTGCTCAGAATGCCTAGCACATTTAACTTTGATTTCTCCAGACTAAAGACACGGTTGCTAATCACATGATTCGGGGCAACTTTTTGTATAGTCGTGTTCCCTAACATGGCGCACTTCGAAGCTTACCCAACTTTCATCGTGTAGTGTTGCCAAACCTCTTTGTTGACAAACCTCAAATTCATGCAGTAAAATACTGGTACTTTGACCTTATTAATGCATGCTATTTAACCTCTGTGAACTATTTCGGTTTCATAAAATTTAATCCGAAATTCCAAAACGTTGGTGTCCGGAAATTGGGCACAAATTCGCGGAGTGTTCCCTAACGTGGCGCACTTAAATAACTCTAGGAAAATTCCAAATTAACATTGAAGAAGTTCTGTTAACTTGATAAATTCTGATAAATCATTATTATCTCTACTTACATACCCAGCCAGATGTTTGTCAGAAAATTATTTTCTTATCATTTTCGGGGCATTTTCAAAGTGTTCACTTTGCACTTGAAAATAAAATCGGAAAATCACGCCAAAATAATTTTTTCTTCTAACTTTGTAACAGGTGAATAGAATCACGATTTATGAACGGGAGTGTTTAGAACTTGATGAAATGTCACTTTCTGTGAAATTTCAGTTAAAAGTTTTGCTCTAGCTAGGCGCTACAGGCGAAAAATCAAAGTGCGCCACGTTGGGGCCGCGCCACGTTAGGGTACATCAACAATATAGTTTTGTAAGAGACGCTTAGCGCCAATACTTTGTTCACAACGGGTGAGAATGGAATTTACACCAGACCCGTTATCCACGGAGCCAAGTCTCCTGTTTAACGTCTGATATGTCAAAGCATGCATATTTATGCGATCTCGCGCCTCAGCCAATCGGAGTCGACTTTACCGTAAATCGTGACGTCATTTCATTCCCAAGTCAGGACTAAAACTGTGGTTGGTCAATTCGAATGCAGTGTTTTGTAGTACAACAACAGCCGGGCGCGTGTCGCGTAACATAATACAGAGTGCGTGACCACAGTGTCTTGGGTATTTTTTTGTTATCGATGTCTTCGGTGAATGAACGAAAGACCCGTTTTAGAAAGCGCCCGCTGATTGGTTAAAATCTAGAGGTCAAGATGCGGTTGTCTTGCATAATTAATCAGCGAATCTGCTCAAATGTTATAGACCATGGCGAAATGTTACATAGACTATGCGGGAGCTGGGGGTTGCGAGCATGAGGCTTCAAGCCTGAAATAATCATGTGATATAGTAACAGTCTCTTTGGTCGGGAGAATGCAAAATTAAAACGTGCAAAAAATTGGATTAGGTCAGCCTTCCAGATTTTATTCAAATTTAACTCGCGAATAGCGTATTGTAGTCCGACCATTCGACCAAATGTAAACATTGTAGGCCTAAAGGTTTTATTTGTTTCCATGCTGTAATTTCCTATAAGAGTTGAAATCTTCACTCTCTGCATTTTATGTCAAGTATAAACATTCGTACAAGCATATTGTAACATTTTTCAACATTTTGGGACTGGTTAAGTTGTCTTGATAATGGCAAAGAACCAATGGCGTATTCGGGATGGCGTCGTTAAACAAAAGCAAAAAAAAAACAAAAAAAAAAACACCAAAAGTATTTTTAGGCTTCGAGACAGTAAAATCTGAATTGTGCCCCCCCCCCCGCATCAAAATCTGGATAACTATGCAAAGAATGCTGAATAAAATTTATGTAAACTTATCTATATGTGATTTGAGTGTCTGTGGTTCACTGATTGGTGTAAAAAAGTGCTCTTGTCAAAGATCAACTTGAAACTTGTAAAACCCCTTTTTTTTTGTTTAAATAATGACAAAACACAGAGATGATAAAGAAGAATTTACCCCGACTTTTACGAAGTAATATGTTAAGGCACAATACATAGTATGTACATGTAAAGTTCAGTTTTTTATTAAAATTAATTTCCAAAACCAATTTCGACGATGTTTTCAAGAAGTGATAAAAACCTGCGAAAATAGATAATTTTTCTAAATTTGGGTTTTGCCGGCCAATTTATTGCACTCGACAAAAAGAAGAATTTGGCCGAGTTTCAAAGCGAAATATTGTTTACTTTTGAAATTATCATAAACAAACATGTTACAAAAAGCCTGAAATCCGTGTTTTTTTATTTTCACGAAGTGACAAAAACTTATACCTCGTTAGCCCTGTCTCAGATCTTGCGCGTTCCGTGTCCATTTGTATATCATGTAAAAAAAAAAAAAAAAGCCGCGTCGCCGCACCACTTTTTTGGGCAAGCTCCATACCAGAAACCGGAGACTTTTTTTGTTGGCCTTTTGGGGCTTTACATGTATTGACCATTCAGTTAGTTTTACGTGTCGCGATTTTGCCTGAATCGGCACTCCATACTTTCTTTTGTAAAAAAAGTTACAAACTTTTCTTTCCGCAGTAAAGTGTAAGAGCGCCATCATGTGTTTCGCGCGCCGTACGATCTCGTCAGATCATCTCGATGCTCAAGATCATCGGGCGATCGCAAAGTGACGTGCGATTTCACGATACGACTCCGAGTGATTTTAAAAAAGAAAGACATCTTATCTTGAGGTCTTTTAGGGCGTCGAATCTTAATCTACATGTTGCTTTTGTGTTGTACATTGTTTGAAGTGACAAAGTCCATCGCTTGATCTGATCTTGAAAGACGATCTAAAGAGGTAGGAGTAGGGACTCACCTTTTTGATTTTCGTAATGCTCTGTCAGTCCAAGGGCATGTTGTTGTTGTGTCAAACCAGGCAACTTGTGCAAGCCATAGGGGCCGATACAAATATCATTTGATTCCTCCTCATTTTATATCAAACAAGCTCTCCACACCTCCAACATTGACCAATATCACAACTGTACTGTAGCCTAATCCTGAATCTCGTAGGCCTAGCCTACTTTCGTTTTATTCCTATAGATTAATAAAAGGAAAGATTCCCATGTATCCTCGATCCTCTAGGCCCCTCCTTTTTCCTGCGCAGCTGCGCAGATAAGGCTTTGCAACCAAGTACTACAGAGTAGCATAAAAATAGCAAAGCAACCACTCTTTTCCTCAACAAAACTATATTGTTGGCTTACGATCATCCACCGTGCAAAGCGAAATCTCTATATTTGAGGCAGCAAGTTGGGAATTCCAAAGCGTGCAGTTTTGGCGTTGTAGAAAAGAATCCTGCCTAGGCCTAATTCTGCACAGGAGACACTTCATGAAAAATATGTGCTGTCCGGGCCATCACATCCGCCATGTGACTCAATATAAACAGTTTTTGAAAAAAAATAAGTTAGACTTGTTGGCTTTAGGAAAATACATTTCCTGAGCTTTTCAAGCATATTTTCTTTCTTTTTCCTTTCTTTTTAAATGCCAATAGGGGGCCTACACTTTTTGTAATTTCAAGATTAGGAAAAATTCTGCCAACCGGACACCACTTTTTTCAATTAATTTTCTAGCGCCAAAAGTTACCTCTTTTTATGGTTATTCCCTCCACTTTCCCTCCTCTACTCTCACCCCCTCCTTTCCTTAATTTCTATTTATCAATCAGTCGCTCACTTCATCGAGATTGGAACCTCGGACGCTTGCTTGATACACGGGTCTCTTAACCGATAGGCCGCGCACGATCGCTGTTGCAATGATCAATCTTTGGACGTATTTGAAGTATCCATTGAAATAAACTAAATATTCATGAGAAAATAAATATTCATAATGACGTATTGCACTATCATTGGCCGGCTCATGCGACGTCTCATGCGACGTCATGGTTATCGATGTCATGCGTATAACGTACCGCTGTTCCAGACACTTCAATCAGTTTTGACCGGCTGCTTCAACTCAGATCTGCACTACATGTGCATGCAAAATGTGCTCCAAAAACACATTTTTACCAATTTTTTTTCGCATGTCCACTCTTTCCTGGATTCCTCTTGGTTGAAATCACAAGGTAAGGTAAAAATTTGGATGTTTGGCGGCAGGTAAGTGTGTCCGGTTGGCAGAATTTTTCCAAAATATAAGAAATGTGTCTTTTTAGTTGCACCGTAAGTTTTACATCCTTGTAGAAACTGCAAATTCTTATCTATGAAATCTTTAAGTATAATACTGACGATATTGGGAGACCAAGAAAGGTCACCTTTCGGTCATATTTGACTTCTGCAGGCCCGGAAGCATCTGCCTGCATTTGTTCTTAGTAATTAGCTGTAAAATGCCGATGTTTTTCATTTTTTGCCTGAATTCATGGGAAAGCCTTCAATTTCCACATTTTTTTCAGCTGCTGGTAAAGCTCGTGCATCAAAGGATATGATCCCAGTGAAAGGTTGTCATTTTTTAGGATGCATGCCTTGCAAAATATAAGTTAAAGGAGAGGGCGCAGAAATAGGAGCGCGTAGCTTTAGGAGGTCTGACAATTCATGATATCTAGTTTATTTACACTTTAGGATCACACTCACCCTGGATAAAAAAGACGTCCTGCCTTTTCTCAGACGTTTTATGTAATTTCCAGGTTCGTTGCACACATTTGCATATATCTATAGAGACTAGCATTTGTGAAATTCGCCAGTGGATGCAAGATAATTTCTTGAAGTTAAATGATGATAAAACAGAATTTATGATGATTGGCTCCCCACAACAACTTTCAAAAGTCAATATTCCCTTCATTAGTATAGGCGATTCTCATATCACTCCAGTTGGCCAAGCCCGTAATCTGGGTGTTATTTTTGATTCTTCATTGTCACACAAAAGTCAAATCTCCAATATTGTTCGTTCAGCTTCATTTCATATTCGCAACATCAGCAAAATCAGAAAATATCTCAACCGCAACTCGACTGAACAAATCATACATTCTTTTGTTACGTCGAGGCTAGACATGGGGAATTCCCTTTTGTTTGGTCTTCCGCAAGAACAACTCACCAGGCTCCAACGTATTCAGAACACTGCTGCACGTGTGGTCACATTAACCAGAAAATCCTCCCACATCACCCCAATCCTGAAAAATCTACACTGGTTACCAGTCTCCTCTCGGATAATCTATAAAATGATGTTGTTGGTTTACAAAGCTCTAAATGGCAAAGCGCCCTCATACATCATGGACATGCTTTCCACTTACAGACCCTCCCGCACTCTCCGATCCAGTAACAAGCATCTACTACATGAGCCAAAATCACACCGTATTTGGGGAGACAGGTCATTCTCTGTAGCAGCACCTCGTCTGTGGAATCGGCTACCTATTCACATCAAAACCTCAGAAACCATTCAGTCCTTCAAAACAGCTCTAAAACTCACCTCATGTCGTTAGCTTTCAATTAATCCCTTGCATTTATGTTTATTTTGTTTTTCTGCTCTTCCGTTACTTACCTTACTTTGTTTAGTTTGTTTATTAATTCATAAAATCATATTGATTTTGTTTACCTACTTTTGCTGCTGTTTTGCTTGTATACAATTATGTATAGCGCCTTGAGCACCTCACGGTGGATATGTTTGCGCTTTATAAATGTCCAATATTATTATTATTATCTAAATTCCAACATCAAAAAGATCACGCGCTTGCTGGAACGTCAGTCACGTAATTCACACTACACCAGCCCAGCTGCGTTTTGTGTGACATCGCGCAGTACGCGCGACGCCAATGTCCTTATAAGGTAACAAGTTGTGGAGGGGCATTCCATATTATAGTCGGAGGGGTGTTTTGTAAAACATGAAGTAAAATTGTTGAACAAAATGGTTGGCAACGTCTAGTTTTGCCTTTTTTGACTTTTGGACAGAAAAGATTTTTTTTTTTTCACCGAAAAGGTATTTATGAATGGGAATAAATATGTGTTCCGTCGGTATTGAACACTCTGTTTAAGACAAGTGGGAGTCTGGATGGGTGATAATTACCCATCCAGACTCCCACCAGTCTTAAACAGAGTGTTATAATACCTCCCGAACACACATTTATTTCCATATTAATTACTAGCTTCCTTGCAAAACCACTGATGAACTAGTTAGGCCTATAGCGAGCTACCGGTAGGATCATGGCATTGTGCCTTTGCCATGTTTTCTTCAGGCACAAGTTTCCAATTGACACAATCAAAGAAAAAAGTTAACAAAAAAGATTTTTTTCTCAATCTTATTCGGTCTTTAAATGTAATATTCTTTCAGCAGGTCTGCGGTACGATGTCTTCTTTTAGAAATGCACCTCTTTGTTTGATCTTGGTGACTGTTGAAATTGCATTGCAACTTGCTCTGACTTCCGACACGTCTGGTAAGTCTACATGTGGGCCTCTATATATGCTGATAGCCGACCATCGTCGGAAAAAAACCCTGACTTTTTTCAAATACTGCCCCCAATTTACGAAATTAAGTCAGTCCATATTTTGTTTGCAGACAGTCACACATCTATGATTGGGTGCAAGCGAGCTGATTCCCTGACTTGACAATTCCCCAATGTCTATAAATTGCTCGTTTTATCTGAAGTATTGGGTCAGGGAACCACACTACAAGAACAGCATTTTTTTTCTTGGTTTTTCCAGCATCTATGAACACAAATCTGGTCGGTATAACAATATTTGCAATAAGATACTAATGCCCAAGTCCATTCATTTCTGAAAATTACAGCAAAAGCAAATGTACGTTTACATGTAATACGTTTATATGTAATACCTTTAAAACATGGAGTACTGTGGCCTCGTGGTTAAGAGCACTGATTCGTGGTCTGCGGGTAAAGCTGCAGGTTGTGGGTTCGAGTCCTGCCGGGGTCATGGTGCGTGTGCCCTTGGGCAAGGCACTTTGTCACTCATTGCTTCTCTCCACCCAGGAGTAAATGGGTACCTGTGAGGGCAGAGATGGTTATTGTGATTGAATTAGCTTCCTTGCGCCTAACAGGCTGCATCGAGCTGTATACTCCCCAGGGAGCTGAGATGGTATTTGGAATGTTTTATGTGCCCAATGAGCAGGGGTAATAATGATGTAGCACCTTGAGCACCAGTCCTGGTGGATACGTGCACTTTATAAATATCCATTATTATTATTATTATGTCCTGTGTACACACTTTTATGAGTTACATAATTTTATCATCTTTTGCAGGTTATCACTTATCAGTTGGTTCTCACAGAACTGACGCGGGATCGCTGAACGGCAAGTTTTATTTGGAGAACTCACAAGTGGTAAGAAAGTTATATTAGTACATCACAAGTCCGCTAAAAGTTAATCACAAGTCTTCAAAAGCGACAGGGATGAACAGTTACTTGTCATGGACTTGTGATGGACCTGTGATGGACTTGTGATGGACCTGTGATGAACTTGTGATGGGCTTGTGATGGACTTGTGATGGACTTGTGGTTGACTTGTGATGGACTTGTGATGGACTTGTGGTTGACTTGTGATGGACTTGTGATGGACTTGTGATGGACTTGTGAGGGACTTGTGATGGACTTGTGATGGACTTGTGATGGACTTGTGATGGACTTGTGATTGACTTGTGATGGACTTGTGATGGACTTGTGATGGACTTGTGATGGACTTGTGAGGGACTTGTGAGGGACTTGTGAGGGACTTGTGATGGACTTGTGATGGACTTGTGATGGACTTGTGAGGGACTTGTGATGGACTTGTGATGGACTTGTGATGGACTTGTGATGGACTTGTGATGGACTTGTGAGGGACTTGTGACGGACTTGTGACGGACTTGTAATGGACTTGGGATGGACTTGTGATGGACTTGTGTGATGGACTTGTGATGGACTTGGGATGGACTTGTGAGGGACTTGTAATGGACTTGTGATGGACTTGTGATGGACTTGTGATGGACTTGCAAAACAAAATCAGGCAAACTTTACTCACTCTTTAGCCAACAAAAATCTCCACAATTTTCATGGGGCAAAGACAAGGTCCTCAGTATTTCACCAGCCGAGTTTTAGGCCTGCATTCATCTTTTAAAGGAGACTAATAACGTTTTGCACCCGAGAGTGAAGCCAAGTGATACTCAATTTGAAGGCTAAGACTAGAATGGTTCATTTTGGGAAGATTGACCCTTCAATTGTCTGGTGGCATGATTGTGGATATGTGCAAAACTAGAGACTGTGTACCAGATGTTTCTTTTCACACGAATGATGAAGTCCAAAAACGGAATGGTTGTTTCATGTGTCAGTCTGTTTTCTTGTATTGCATTGTTTTTACTATCATAAGTTTTGGCACTCTCGTACACAGTATGAAGAGTCCCAAATTTTTGGACTGGGCCGTCCCTACTATGGTGTTTCCACTAACACATAAATGAGGACGGTCCTAGCTTAAGTTCGGACCATGATCTAGTTGGAGGCCTTACACTCTTAAAGGTAGATTAGATCATTTGTCATTTGGTATTTTTTTTCGTTTGAAGCACATTGTAACAACAGTGCTAAAAATCTAAAGATGGGTGCTTTACAACTAACTTGATGAAGTTTTAGCTCTGTGAATGTTGTATATTCCGAGAAAACAATATTCTAGGATCTCAATTTCAATTCAAAAGTTGCCAAGTCATGTTTTGAATTGCGCGGGAAATCAGCATCCGGGACACGTTCTCATTCAACCGATTGCAGCTGCGCGATATCACGCAATAAACCAACGAATGATACCAACTGCGCGTGTGCGCATCGTTTCAACGCTTCCGTCTACCCATACATGGATTCGCCTAATTACAAACCAGTTCTACTTACGGAAATTTCCAAAAAATGCTTCACTTGACGCATCTTTGGAACATGCCTTCTTTTAGTGTTTTCTTCAAAATGACAGCATGCCAAAAAGAACAATTTCACAGGGAGCTTATTGCCATCCCCATCTTTAAACCAAGTACGCTTTTCAACAATAATTTTGTCAGTTACTTTTTGGATAGCTGCAAATGATCTACTCTACCTTTAAAGTTGGGCCGTCGCAACTATGTATTGTGTTCCAACTGGAACAGATTGGGACAGTCTCAGCTTAAGTTAGGACTATGGCCTTAATGGGGCCTGACACTCTTAATGGATTCTGTCCAAGTAGGTACTCCAATGTGAGATAGCAGCTGATGATGGAAACGATGGGATTGACACCAGATCTATCGGACATTCCTTTGCCTCCATGGGATTGGCACCGGTTGTCACACTCAGGAACACCACCTGGATTCGAACCATCCACTTCCCCCTAGAATCTTGGGTAAGTCTGCAAGGATTGACATAAATCATCTGTAATCACTCTGTACAAACACAACCTGGATTTGAACCGTCCACTTCCCCCTAGAATCTTGGGTAAGTCTGTAAATTATCTGTAATCACACTGTACAACTCAAACTGGATTTGAACCATCCACTTCCCCCTAGAATCTTGGGTAAGTCAGCAAGGATTGACATAAATCATCTGTAATCACACTGATACAAACACAACCTGGATTTGAACCATCCACTTCCCCCTTGAATTCAGGGTAAGTCCTATGCAAGGAATGATTTGTAATCATACTGTGGAACACAAGCTGGATTGGAACCATCCATTTCCCCTAGAATATAGGGTACCGGTACATTTAAGTCCTATGCAAGGAATGATTTGTAATCATACTGTGGAACACAACCTGGATTGGAACCATCCATTTCCCCTAGAATCTAGGGTAAGTCCTATGCAAGGATTGATATACATGTATCTATAAATGATTTGTAATTATACTGTCATACTCTGGAACACAACCTGGATTCGAACCATCCACCTCCCCACAGAATTATGGGTCCTATATGCAAGGATTGATCTGTAAAATGATCTGTTATCACACTGTACAAACACAACCTGGATTTGACCCATCCACTTCCACCTAGCGTCTTGGGTAATTAGCCCTATGCAAGGATTGATATCTATAAATGATCTGTAGTCATACTGTAGAACACAACCTGGATTCGAACCATCCACTTCCTCCTAGAATCAAGGGTTAGCCCTATGCAGGGATTGATCTATGAATGATCTGTAGTCATACTGTTGAACACAACCTGGATTCGAACCATCCACTTCACCCTAGAATCTAGGGTAAGTCCTATGCAGGGATTGCTCTATATATGATCTGTAATTATAGGCCTACTGTTGAACATAACCTGGATTCGAACCATCCCCTTCCCCTAGAATCTAGGGTAAGTCCGTATATGTCCGTATATGCAAGGGATGTATAAATGATCTGTAATCACGCTGTAGAACACAACCTGGATTCAAACCATCCACTTACCCTTAGAATTAATCTAGGGTAACTTGAAGTCCGATGCAAGGATTGATATCTACAATATAAATGATCTGTAATCATACTGTTAAACCCAACCTGGATTGAACCATCCGCTAGAGTCCAACCATCCACTAGAGTCTAGGGTAAGTCCTATGTACAATCATACTGTGGAACCCAACCTGGATTTGAACGATCCACTTATCCTTAGAATCTAGGGCAAGTCCTATGCAAGGATTGATATCTACAATATAAATGATCTTTAATCATACTGTTAAACCCAACCTGGATTGAACCATCCACTGGAGTCCAACCATCCACTAGAGTCTAGGGTAAGTCCTATGTACAATCATACTTCGTACTGTGGAACACAACCTAGATTCGAGCCATTCTTTTCCCCCTTTTTTGGGGGGGTCAATTTTTTTTTAGTCCCACGATTTGACCGTGGTAAATGGGTGTAAATGGCGCCACCAACTTCAAAATAGTCCGCGTTCCCCCCCCCCCCCCCCCCCCCCCCGGAAAAAAACCCTCAATTTGTTTTCTGCGGCCAACAGTTTTGGGCAACATTTTAGGAAAACAATTTGGAAAAAAATTCAAATTTCAAAAAAAACCCCAAAATTGTGAGGCCCCCAAGTCAAATCCAGGGTGCGTCACTTATCAAGGGTAAGTCATTGGTAAGAATTGATGTGTTTTACAGTGCGACAGTGGTACATCGTGTGGATTCGAACCATCTACACCCTGCATGATTTTCTTTGCAAGTCTTCGGCAATAGACATGACAGAAAAGTCTACCAGGATTCCAATCATCTGTACTCCTGTGGCATTCTGTTCATGATAACTTAGAAACACTTGCCACAGTCAAGAAGTATTCTCTAAAATTCATTGAAACATGAAATTCTGAATTTCCATGAATTTTATCTGGATGTGAAATGTCCCTCTTCATCTAACATCTCTTGCAAGAGGAAAAGCCCTCTTAAAGTGGAACCTTCCTCAATTTAAAATCGGTAGTAAGTCGCTACACTCATCAGAACTGTGTCTGTTTTTATTTTTAAAAAAACATACTTTTTTTTTCCTTTAAAGTTTAAGCCAGCTTTTTCATCTGATGAAGGGAGAATTCTTTTTCTCATATACAGTGTGTATCAAAAATATGCTAACAAAATTTAACATAATGCCAGACGTAGAATGTGTAACCGACATAGATAATATAGGTATGGTTTGACCTCTCTTGGAAAATTACTCATAATTCTGTCGAAAATTATCAGATTTGGACGTTTGATGTCTCATTTTAAAGTGGAAAGGCGTATCTCTCAAACCATACCTACATGTATATTATCTATGTTGGTTACACATTCTATGACTGGCATTCCGTTATATTTTGTTTGCATTTTTTTTATACACACATACACCTATACCAACTGAATGTGTGTGTTTTTCTTTTATCAACAGAATAGTTCCCTAGGTGTGTGGAAATTCATTGCATCCAAAGAGGATCTCTTCACTTCAGAGAGTAAGTCTGATTCGGAATTCTCCAATTTAAAACCGACCAGATGTCATTCCTATTTTTACACCAAATAAGTTTGTTTGGTGCAGTGGGACGCAGCTATGTAACGAACATCGCCGTATCCACAGAAAGTCTTCGTAACAACGATCCTTTCGGTTTAGCGATTTTGAACCACCGGTACCAGTGTTGTAGGTCTCGAGACCGGTCTGGGTCTCGAGACTGGTCTCGAGACCAATTTTTGCTGGTCTCGGTCTCGTTCTCGGTCTCGGGAGCTATGGTCTCGGTCTTGGTGTTGGTCTCGGTCCCCTTTGGTCTCGATATTTTGGCTGATCTCAAGTCGAGACCGGCAACATGTAGCATTTTAAGAGCTAAATCGATTACTGTGTGTTCACTTCAACGGGTGGTTTCCCTTCTATTCCTTGGGGAAAAAATAGGCATTTATCACTCTTCAACATTCAAACACAATGTAATTATGGGTCGTTTGATGTTCAGGAAATAAAAGTGGCCCAAATAGCGTTTAACACAACCGGTAGATTTTATGTTAATCTGTTGACTTTTTCAACAACAATGTTCGGTACGTTTTGTACATTAAAACCGGGAGCCAAGGAAAATGTTCGGTTTAGCCAAATGTTTGGATTAGCGGTGTTCGGTATAGCGGCGTTCCACTGTAATAAGTCTTGCAAGATAATAACAGTTTCTTGCAAGATAATAACAGTTTCTTGCAAGATAATAACAGTGTTTTAATTGAACTCAGGTCTTTATTTATGGTGGGGTGGTAGATCACTTTGAAACGGCATTCACTGAAATGGCATACAATCTTCACTTCAATTGTGAATTTTTATAGAATTCTTTCAAATTAAGGAAATTAATCAAAGACTCAGAGAGATATAGTGGGCCGTAGCTTTATCGTTCTCTACACTTCCAGGTGGCACGGAAGACTGGATTGCCGAAGTGAGCTTAGATGCCTCGACAGAACTCCTGAGGGTTGTTACGTCATTATTGGACCTCACTAAAGGTAGTAACCCTTGCCTCATGACAGCGCGCAACAAGAGCATGTCAGGCTACACTTTTTGAAATTACCAAGCACTATCTTTAACTCTTTCAGTGCCCGCGAAATTTGAAAAGTTTAACCCTAAATTGCCCAACTTCAAGCGTTCTTGTTAATTGTTCAAAATTCTGTAAAAAAAAAAAGTAAATAAGTTTTACTCACTAAATTTGTTGTTGTTGCTCTCTGGTATATCCTTGGTATATTGGAAGTCAATAGTAGTCACATACATAGTGATACACCCTGAAACACTGTCCTGCACACAGGGGAATTCTGCACTTTTTGCAGAAAATACGAGTGTCAGTGCTGCGCCCTCTCGCAAGAACTTGAATAAAAAAAATAAATACAGGTCGTACATGCATGAAAATGGTACCATTAGAAAGAGCGAGAGCGTCCCCTTTTGATAACATGGAAACTCTACCTCGTACATGTGCGAGGTTTGGCGATTTTAATCACGAACATTACCTCGTACATGTACGAGGTTGGAGCTTTCGTACTAACAAATATACCTCATACATGTACGAGTTTGGCACTGAAAGAGTTAATCCTGTCTTTTAACCCGAGCCCTCACACATCCTTCAAAATCTACCACAAGGTTTTGAAGGACTTCGAAGGATTGAGGAAGGTAGATCCAGCCACTGCTACTTTTCTTTACCAAATCAAAGTTTTCTACAAACGACAGAGTGGTAAAAATACATAAAGGTTTTTTTAAACCACTTCATGTATAACCAGTTTTTGCTGCACCCAAAGGGCCAGCCTCGTGCCCCCTGACGGACCAACAGACCGACGGACGGACCGACCAACCAATCAAAAGACCAACCGACCTACCAACCGACTGAAGCATGAAGCACTGAGTGTAATGTCCTAAGTTGAGACTTTCGGGTCCTTCTTGACTACACAAGCCCAGTTTTATTTGTGATTCATAAATACCTAAGACAGTTTACCCATTCCTATTGGTCGAGAGCCTGTCACGTGGCCGGTCTGAAACGGATGATAAAGACATGGCTGGCTGGTCTTAAACACTTTTCCAGTGTCACATGAAATTTGGACTCCTAAAAATCCAGTGCCTCTTACCGTTTTATTGGTTGAACGTTCACAATCCTCACGTAGGCATGCGCAATACTACCAGTGAGTCAGTATTTGATAGACCTAAATTCACAACGCAACGCCCTAGGTGCATACTACGCGCCATCACGCAGAACACACGGCGCGCGCGCCAATCTCCATAAAAGGATTTGTTTACGTCTTATTCGCGAGCTGGACACTCCATTATTTAACTAGAGGGGTGTTTAAAAAAACATGAAGTGAACTTGTTGAACAAAATCAGGTTTTTTTGACTGAAAATTTTTGAATTTTTTGACCGAAAAGGTATTAATGAATGAGAATAAATACGTGCTTGGTCGGTATTAATCACTCTGTTTAAGACCGCTTGGAGTCTGGGTGCTGATAATTACCCTCGCCTTCGGCTCAGGTAATTAGCAGCACCCAGACTCCAAGCGGTCTTAAACAGAGTGATTAAAACCTCCAAAGCACACATTTTTTCCCTTATTGAAGTGCTTGAGTTTCATAAGTGAAAACTTACAAGTGAGCGAAATAAAGTCACGTTGGAGATGGACTTTAAGGCTAGTCATGTTTTCATTTCTCATTACCTGATTCAGCATCTTTTGCAAACACCAATCTTGGAGACCCTGTTTCGTCTTTTTTGATGAGCAACCCTAGCCTGCTGAGTGATGTCACCAAACTCCATCTCGCATCATCACCGTGCTCACCTGATATCACTGTGCTTGGACTTGGGTACAACACAACAAAAACACAAGGTAAGAAGTCAATTTTCAAATAAAAGTACTATACCCAGAGTTGTTGTAGTGGTCACAAGTTAGAAATTAAAAAAAAACAATGGGCCTTATGCACAAGTCGGCCATATTGAATTGAAAAGTGAGGTAAAATCTTAATTTTTGGAACTTGCAGGGGAAAAAAAGAGAAATGAAAGCAATTTAATTACTAATTAAGTCTCGTCTGCTTCAATGAATAATTCAAAAATTTGTAATTAAACATTCCCTAATGATAAAAGCCAGTTTTAAAAAAAATGACAGTAAAATAAGGCTGCATTATGCCTGCATAAATAGTTTGGCGCCATCCCATTCAACAGCTAACAATTAATGAAATGCATTCAGGGAACTCTACAAAAATGGCCAACTCGTGCATATAAGGCACATAGAAAGTTGTACTTGCTCTGATGCTTATAGTATACATGTGCATTCATATTTAAATTCCTGTCGATGATCGTATTATTTAAAATGGTTACATCAAACCTGTTTTGCGTTATTGTGTACAAGGTCCGTTTTTAATAACAATCTCACCCAAAAAATGTGAATAAGTTAGTACACATCAAAATTTTTTTCGATGATTCGTTTTGAGCAAATGCAACCTACATGTATGCTACTCTTAATAGTTTTTTTCAGAAATAGTGAAACAAAATCGAAGTCAACCATGACAACCAGCACTTGGTATGATCACTGCATCCAGTTGTCCAATAATTTTGTGAAATGATTTTAAACGCAGGAATAATCCTCGGGGTCACAACGGATGCCTTCAGAAGTGACAGCAATTCCACACATTGGTACAATGTCACAAACCAACTCTGCCAGGTTATTACACCAAGCGGTAAGAACTAATCAACTTATTAGTCCAGAATGTTTTGTTATTGTGCGAAAGCTACCATTGGAAAGTGTGATAGAAACTAGTTTCACAATAGGGCTCGTTCAATGATGGCCATCTCTGTAGGAGAACTGCGTATTTTACGCAATCAAGCACGCATTGCGCAGTGTTGAAAATGTTCCAAATACTCGCGCTTGTTGCTCGAAATGTGTTCGAAATACGACGCAGCCGATGCGCGTTATGCAAGTTCACGCTCAAAATGCCGATGCACGTGGCTGGTCTGTAGGAAATGACGTCATTATACCACAAATTGTTTTATAATATTGGATTGTACCTTTCGCGATGTATTTTTGTAAACACTGTATTGTATGAGCCCAGCGTTGTCCGAGGGATTACAAGAACAGATTCACAAGCTTACTCCGTTGGGACTCGAACCCACGACCTCCTGCTTGCTGTTAGTGTGCAGTTACGCAGATCTGGTCTCAAAGATGACTCTGGAAAAATCTCTCTGCATCAAAATCCAGGGATCTAGGGTTTAAGAATTAACCTACCGGTACCTCCTAAGACATTTTTCTAGGAACCTCCGTGCATTCTTTAAAATTGTCCACCATGCAGGGAACAAATATGGCACATTCTTGGGAATCATGCCCCGTGTTGCGGGAAATAGTGTCTGGGGTCTACGTTCCTCAATCCTTTGAAATCTTCCAAATCTTTTAAAAGTTCATAGGACTTTGGAGGGTAAATTGCATTTATTTATTTTATTTGTTTAACTTTTGTGGCCTTAACCCATTTATTAGTCCCGATGTTGCCATGAACCACCCTGCTTGTTTCTCCCTGTTTGGTTTTTTTGATCTATCAGGGGAAAAAATACAATGAAATGCAAAGTAGTACAGATGACGAGTTTTTGTCCAAAACGTGACATATCCATTTGAAAAACAGGTGAAAATTTTGCACGGTTAAGAAACTTTAAAGAATAAAAACAGTATAACAGCTGTTTCTAAACTTAATTTTTCACCTTGCCAATTTCTTAAGTTGTGTTTAAGGATATAACAGCCATCAAAATAGCTTTTGGCAGCCAGGAGAGAGCTGGATTCCAAAGGGAACAAAATGGCGTATAGTGCGTTTCGGACATAAACTCTCCAGGTGCTTATATACAAATATTGAATGCTTCGAGTGGTGTAGTAAAACAAGCCTCCCGAGGTGATCCATGGACATTCTATTTTCCCGAGGCCAAGCCGAGGGAAAATAGAATGTTCCATGGATCACCGAGGGAGGCTAGTTTTACTTCACCGCGAGATAAAGCATTCAATGTTTGTTTTATAACACTTCACCCACAGATTCTGCTTGGCTATGATATTTTAAATTATCTAAATTTGAACACAGTTGAAATAACTTCAGTTTCAATACAAAATTGGTGGAAAATGTATTCCTCTCTTCCAAACTACCCCTTCACGAAATGTTTGAACCCCTCTCTGCGAAGCGCTCTCTTTGGAACAATATGCGCTACGTGCAACGCGCAACGCGCACACACCAGCATGCATTTACACACAAATACTGTGCCGTGGAAATAGTACTTTGGTTGCTAATGGTATAGTACTTGGTTGCTATGGGTATAGTACTTTTGGTCGTGCACTGAAAGATAGCAAAAATAGAAAGTATCATGTGACTCGCTCTCGGCCAATCAAAACACAGAATCTGTGGGTGAGGTGTTATAAAATAGATTATATACCCACATAATTATCTGCAATCCATTCCATTGATTCTGTCATTTTCTACCATTCCAGGTTGTGAGGAGATGACCTTGATTGATCTGATCCTAACGGCGGATCAGTCCCTGCTACTCCTGACTACCCATGGCTTGTTCCTGGGCCAGCTACCTGCAACAGACCCACCAGTCTCCAGAGGGACTTCACTCCAACATCAAGTAAGACAGTAACTGAGCTTAACACTTATACCCAACACGATATGGGATATAACATTTTTCTCCCGAGAGGCACATACTTTCAACATACTGTAGCTAGAGGGGTGTTTCACAAAACGAAGTAAACATTGTTGAAAAAAAATCATTGGAAGTGTATAAGTTTTGACGTGTTTTTTTTTTTTGACGAAAGGGGAAAAAACATGTGCTTGGCCGGTTTTAACCAAGCACGTTTAAAACCAGCTAGGGGCCTGGTCGCCAATAATGGCCCGAGCGGAACCATTATCTGTGTTCAGGCCTGGCCGATGCTAGTTTGAAACGTTTGTTAAAACCGAGCCAAGCTCATGTTTATTCCCTTATTATTACCCAGCAGCGTCTGTGACTGAACATGTCACAATTGTTCACCCTATATCTATTATTCCATCAGGTCTCATGGAGTCTAGTTGAATTACCCAGCTCAATCGTCTTTGCCTCATTTCATCTATCCTACACACCGGTGTGTTACAACAGCTACAGTAAATCCTCCACAGAACAAGGTTTGTCCAAATTTCCATTCCATATTTTTCAGGAACTTCAAGCAAGCAGTTGTAGGACAATTGTTAATTTTTCCATTTTTTACCTGAAGTTTGTGTCAAAACAGAAAATACAGTCTGCCATTTTCAGATCTCTCCTGATGAATTACAATGTGCTGTTTCGTAAATCATCACAGTTGTAGATCAAACAGTTGCAAACCACATGCCTTTTTTAAGCTCTGGCAGGAGCGTCTACATGTCACTGGGTGGTTGGTCGGTCAGTTGGTCTGTCTGTCTGCCCCCCAAAACTGACCAATAATAGTTGACCAAAAATTGACCAAATGCCATGCCGTCGTCAGTAAATGCACTCTGGACGAATGTTATCGGAAAACGGGCTTTGTCTGGATTGATGCGCATGTGTGTCTATTTTGCATATAATGTATGTCTGTCCCCAGAAAATTGACCAAAAATTAGCCCCCAAGTTTCCCATAAAATATAACTACTTAAGTTAAATTTAAAGAAAAAAGCAAACTAAAGAAATGAAACCCTTAGGCCTTACAAAAATTGTTTGTAACAATTTGTAAAGTTGTTTATGAAAATTTTGTAAAAATGGGTACCAATTTTAGGGGATTCCCCCCCCCCCCCCCCCGAAGATGACCACCTTTAAAGCAGTCCTGGATCAGAGCCCATCGCCAATTTGAAAAATGCAAAATAGATCGACTTTCAAGTCCGAATTTATCCCAAATTCCTCAGAAATTTAAGTTCAAAGAACAGCCTTAAAACTTTGCTTGACCATTCATCATTTCTACAAAGCCTCAGGTTCAGGAGCTATAAAATTTTCTATAAAAATTGGCAGTATACAAATCCTGATTTGGCTGCCGTAGACAATTTTGGGTCTGTTTTCTGGTCTGCACCTTAGAAACTTGTGCCTTTTTCTTGTCTTGTGTAGTGACACACGTCATGACTTGTTGGAACTTGTACTTGTTTTTCTCTTCCACAGTTGCCTATGTTGCAATGGTGAATTCCAACGAGGTATGTCACTTAAAAACTACAAAGTGCTCTACTAGTAAATGTAGACTCATGTAGGGTATTATCATTTCAAACCATTAGCACCTGTGCTACATTGTATTACGTTGTATTTATTCCCTAATGAACACATAATAAGCCAAAGAGTATTATATAACCGACATACAGATCCTTGTCATTTGATTGGTGGAACTCACATCACATGACATTTGTTATTGCTCCCATTCACGCCGGGGCTCAAAAAGTCCCATTCGCCCATGGGGAATGGGAAATACATGTACTATTGAACAGTTAGGATCATTCTTGTTCCATGATGCGGTATTTGTGTGCAAATGCATGCTGGTGTGCGCCCAGCATTGCGCGTAGCGCGTATTGTTCCAAAGAGCCAGTGCTACGGCATTGGGTTCAAACATTTTCGTGAAGGGGTGGTTTGGAAGAGAGAAATCCATTTTCCACCAATTTTGTATTGAAAAAAAAAGTTCAAATACGTCAAATGACAACGATCTATATGTCAGTTAAATATGAAGTAAATATTGAGTGGCTTTAAAGATACAGTCCATCATTTGAAATTTGTGCATTTTGTTCGTTTGAAGCAACAAAAGTGTTCAAAATCTAATGAAGGATACCGAACAACTAACCTGATGAAGTTTCAGCTCAGCATCAGCTGTATATACCGAGAAAAACAGCATTCTAGGATCTCAATTTCAAATCAAAAGTTGCTGAATCATGTTTTGAATTCAGTATCAGAGATGCGTTCTCACTGAGCCGATTGCAGCTATACGCGATGTCGCGCACTGATCCGACGAATTATAGCAACCGCGCGCACGTGTGCGTCATGCCAATGCTTGCGTGCGCTTCGCCGAATAACAAAACGAACTACTAATTTAAATTTTCCTACGTTGCGTCTTGGAAAGGCCTTCTTTGGTTGATTACTTCAAAATGACAGCTTGCCAGAAAGAATAATTTCACAGGGAGTTTAGTCCCCTTACTATCTTTCAACCAAGTATGTTTTTCAACAATAATTACGCCAGTTACTTTTCGGATGGCTGCAAATGATGGACTATAGCTTTAAATTGTGAAATGGAAGGAATATTATCGCCCGGTAAAATCTGGACTTTTCCAGTTCACTCGGCTTCGCCTCGTGAAATGGAAAAGTCCAGATTTTACCTTGCCATAATATTCCTCCCATTCCACGCTGAGCCACTCAATACTTTTATACTAGCTGCGGGTTGGGACTGTTCAGGGATGGGTTAAACATTTTGAATGACTGTTGAGGGTTGCTGTCATCTGCCTATTTCTTTTCAGAGAAGGTTTGATGTTTGCTTATCTAGGAAATGTATTCAATTTTAACCAGTTCACGCCGGGATTATTTTGACAAGAACGGAACGAGGCGCGGGATTACGTTTCACTTGACCTCATGTCAGGCGGGTTGAAGCCATCACCCTCAGGCAGCACACTCAATTTCCGGCCTCTCTCACTGCGAGCGGGTCGCTGATGGATATTTTTGGCCTTGCTCCTCGCGTGTTTATCCGTCATCCGTTCCAAATACCGCAAAACCTTTGGAGGTATACACATCATCCGGCGCACACTGGTTAAACAGAGAAAGCAAACAATGTGAATAAAGGAATATTTTACCTCTTGAATCTGAGACCTCTGTAAAATAATCATGTGTACTTGTTGTTCCTGATACTGTTTTAGTTAGGAGTACAAGATTGATTTTTACCCCTCAGCCGAGAGGCTCGAGGGGTATTGTCATCGCCTAGGGCGTCCGTCCGTCCGTCCGGGTAGCTTAGTTTCCGGATGATAACTTGAGTTAGAAATGTTATTTGGGGTTGTAACTTCGGTAGGGGGTTGCCCTTAGGAGTAGGCAAGTTGGGATTGGTTTTGGGGTCAAAAGGTCAAAGGTCAAGGTCACCATGGTGAGTTAAAGGTAAATGGTTTCCGGATGATAACTTGAGTTAGAAATGAGATTTTGATGTCTAACTTTGGTAGAGGGTTGCCCTTGCAAGTAGGCAAGTTGGGATTGGTTTTGGGGTCAAAAGGTCAAAGGTCAAGGTCACCATGGTGAGTTTAAGGTAAATGGTTTCCGGATGATAGCTTGAGTTAGAAATGAGATTTTGGTGTCTAACTTTGGTAGAGGGTTGCCCTTGGGAATAGGTAAGTTGGGATTGGTTTTGGGGTCAAAAGGTCAAAGGTCAAGGTCACCATGGTGAGTTAAAGGTAAATGGTTTCCGGATGATAACTTGAGTTAGAAATAAGATTTTGGTGTCTAACTTTGGTAGAGGGTTGCCCTTGGGAGTAGGCAAGTTGGGATTGGTTTTGAGGTCAAAAGGTCAAAGGTCAAGGTCACCGTGGTGAGTTAAATGTAAATGGTTTCCGGATGATAACTTGAGTTAGAAATGAGATTTTGGTGTTTGACTTAGGTAGGGGGTTGCCCTTGGGTACAGGCAAGTTGGGATTGGTTTTGGGGTCAAAAGGTCAAAGGTCAAGGTCACCGTGGTGAGTTAAATGTAAATGGTTCCAAATGATAACTTGAGTTAGACATGAAATTTTGGGGTCTATCTTCAGTAGGGGGTTTCCCATTGGTACAGGCATGTTGGGACTGGCTCTGGGGTCAAAGGCCAAAGGTCAAGGTCATTATGTTGAGTTAATGGTTTCCGGATGATAACTTGACTCTGGCTGGGGGGTTTCAACAGCAACGCTGTTATTTTTTATACATGTATACATGTACAGGATGAGTAAAAAAAAAAGATACCCAAATGTTGGGACCATTGTTTTAGGGAAGTTCTGCATGTAGCATTTTCAAAACCTAGGATATGGAAACCGAATTCATAAGCTTTCTTTTAGTACAAGAATCATTCAAATCACTCATCTACTTTTCAAGTTATGGAATTTTAAACACAACTACCATTTTAAGGTTCTGTCCACGGATCGCAAAAAAGTTCAGTGTTCTTTCAGTAAAACGAAAACAAATCACATAGGGATGTGTGTGAATTGTTTTCGTTTTGCTGAAAGAACGCACACCTTTTTGGTGCTCCGTGGACAGAACCTTAAAACGGTGGTTGTGTTTAAAATTCCGTAACTTAAAAAGTACATAAGTGATTTGAATGATTCTTGCACAAAAAGAAAGCTTATGAATTGGGCTTTCATATACCAGATTTTGAAAGTGCTACATGCAGAACTTCAATAAAACAATAGTCCAGACTTTTGGGTTTCGTTTTTTTTTTACTCACCCTGTATTTGTGTTAATAGTGCTGGGATAACATGTCAAACTACTACAACCAGGAAAAAGTTTGTGGTTGAATCCCTATAAAAGGCCCAGACGAATAGGGATCTATCGTTGGCTTATTTACCGGTAGCTGTATGGAATTCCTAACAGCATGGATGTCGAATTATCTGGTTTCAGGTTGTTTATGCAAGTTATCCGACGTATACCAACTGGACAGTTTCACCGTCAAACAGTCCATTCAGTCAGCCTACAGACTTAGTATACGACCACCACACGGATAGCTTTGTAATACTACAGAAGAAAGAGGTAGATAGAGTATACATCAGTTATTTCATTACTGTCAATATATGTTGCCAATGAGCTCCGTGCGCCACCAAAAGAGGGCGCCCTTTCACCTAACAACGACGTTCCATGGGCGGGACATTTCGCTGGTTGACGCGCACCGTTCCTTGTGTGTGACGCATGTACACCAGGGGATTTGTACTATTTACACGCAGTGGCCGCGCTTCGCGGCAAATGAATTGCAGTCAGGCAAGATGGCGTCGGTTGGTCACCCCCAACTGTACTTCCTTTGCCGGTGAGGGGGTGCTTGTGAACAGAGCGGATAGGCTCCGTACGCCAACAAAAGAGGGCGTGTTTTTACCATTTTTGAGAGCCCCTTGGCCGGGACACCGCGTGTGCGTACTGTACTGGATTGCGCGTGAAGTAAGCACGACTTACTTGTCCTGAATGTGCACAAAGCTAAGCCATAGCGTCTTCGCGCGTGAGCGTTACGCGTCGTCGGTGTGCGAATACATTTGAATTACACTTGCAATAGTCTCCAAGACTACCCCCAGCCCCAGTAACTTTGGATCATTTGAAATACTCAGTGGATGGACAGGGAACCAGTCTAGGTCACCCCCTACTTTCCTTCTTTATTTATTTAAAGTCCATGGGATCTCAGTCTCAATCTGTACATATGGTCCGGCTACGCGAATGCAATCCTGTGTGTATGTGGGTTTCTAAAAATAATGATCGGACCACTGTACACCATGCACCAACGTGACGCAGAGCGCGGGTACCGTACACACGCACGCAGCCACGGTTGGCCACTGCCGGCCACACACGCTTGCAAAATGGCGATAGCAATGAAAAGTTCTTTATTGGGCAACTGAAAATAAAATTCGGGCAACCAGATTTCATGAACCCCTGCCCGGAGGGCAACTACATTTTTAAAAATTTTGCGAGCCACGAGACCCTGGTCACTATAGTAACATTTGAACTACAATGTTTTTTTTGGGGGGGGGGGGGTATCAGCTTTATCCTTCAGGAAACCAACCATTAAAGTTTAAGTTGGGTAATATTATCTGACTGGCCCAAGTAAAATCCCATGCTAATTCTTTGCAAACTCTGTCTATAATAATTGAATTCTCTTTATTTTGCAAGGGGTCGGTTTTTTAAGCCACGTCTTGACAGCCTTGACATTTCGGCATTTTCTGGACCCCATGGGTATTGACCCCTAAGTGATCTGATGGGGTCTGGCATGGACTAAAGTTGAGTTGATAAGTGGTTTCCCTATCAGCTTTATGTCCAGCGCTCGCGGCCACCAGTTTTATCCCTGGGTTTAGTGGTCAGAGCTGCCTACGCATTTGGGATGAGGATAGTTTGGAAGCTAGCCAATAGGGATGTACTTTTACAGGCAGCGGCGTAGCCAGGGGTGCGTTTTGGCGGTCATAACCAAGAATTGGTTCGGTGGTTTCTCTTTGGTTAATTGTTTTGGGGATTTGAGTACTACATGATCACGCGTAATTCTAACCCAATTAAAATTGCTGAAGAAATTCACCGACAAGAAACCATCGAACCAATTCTTGGTTATGACCGCCGAAACGCACCCCAGGGTTCTCATCCTAGGGGGGCGTGTTGGGAGGGGGCCTTATATGTTACAATGTCATGGCGCCCAAAATGTTCATCTGTGCTGAAAGGTCGGGGGCGCTGTGCAAACGCTGTACATCTACCGGTATCATGGTTAATGTTAGATTATAACTACCGCTATTCGCTTTCCACGGGCGTTAAAATAAATAGCCACTCTCAAAATGAAAGAGTTTTGTTGAAAAAATACGAACCAAATAGCGAGGGGCTTTGTGTTCTTCCAGCTGATTATGGAAACTCATACGGCTGTGCTTTTCTCCAGATGCCAAATTTCCAGTGGGGTGGTGATTGGGGGGGGGGAGCAAACTTTTTGTGTACAACCCCCCCCCCCCCTCCCCCGCTGTATTTGTGAGACTCCGTTCCGGGTATTTTAACGTTTGAGTACCCGAAGAACCGTAATAAATGACAAATAGATCGTTTGCACTGCAGCCTTAGTGGAGGTGTGTGCTTTTGTTCATTAGGGATATGCAGGAGTAAAGTGCTGCGGCCGAACTGAACAAAAATTAACCAAACATGGCACTTCCAATCTGAACAAAGCTGAACCAAACCGAACTGATTTGTTCAGTTTGAACATGGAGCTATAAAACGGTGGTTTGCTTAATTCATACATGTAAACGCGATTTTTTTAGCACCGCGTATTTTGATTTGCGCAATCAAAATAGTTAAAACTTGCACCATAAAATTATCTAATTCAAAGAAAACAATATTTTAGGCTGACATTACCGACCTAAAATGAAAGGAAATTCAGGTACATACATGTATGTATGTGCAGTCATTAAGTCTACGTACAACCGCAACACAATCCATGTCCCAAGCCGCGCCGTGTCGACTTGCATGGTTGGCGTAGCGGTACTTTCCTCGCCTTCCACCGCTGTGACCTGGGTTCGAATCCCGCCTGGGCCAATATGTGGATTGGGTTTTCAGTCCCAGCCTGATACCGTGGGTTTTCCCCAGAATATTCTTCTGGGCTTTTCCTCCCACCTCTAAAACTGTAACTTCTTCTCATTGTCTTCTCTCCACAGGTTTCTTCAGGCTTGCGAGCTACAGTGCCTAGGGCGCTTTTGAGGAATCCTTGGTTTCATTACCAGAAATGATTAATATTAATAATTAATAATCATTGACTTAGTGACCACATGCACGCGCCGCCGACAATTTGTAAAAATCACACTGTTCAAATGTTACAAATCCAAGCTTCAGATTCAGTGCTTGGAAAAATGCATTGAAACAGAAAAATACGGACACTGAAAAGAAAACTTGAAGGTTTTTTGAAATTACTAGCTGAATTCTTCAGTTTTTAGATCGTTTCAAAAACATTTGCTTGACATATTTCACGCTGTCGATTTTAATTGTTGTGTCATACTCTGGACTATTAAGCGTCCCTGACAGATTCCAGCCGGCGGCCAAGCCTCATTTCCTGGATGGTGCCAAGTTGTACGCAAGAGGAAACCTAACAGGCCCCTTTGTCGCCCTCACAAGGTGGTGGATTAAAATGCAATAGAGACGTTTGCATGTACCTTGACAGCAGAAGCAGTAACAGGCAGGATTTGCAATGTCTGCGGAACAGCGTAGTTGAGTTACGAATGAAAGTTGCTTTCTCTGTGCTATTTTTGAGTTTCACAAGCCAAAAAAAAGGTTTTTATGTTTAATTGCAATTTTTGTATTAAACGTAAAGAAGTTATTCACTTTTGAATGAGACATCAAATGAACTTTCCTTGTGTAACAGGCGTACAATTAACCCAAAGTAAAACCTTATTTTTTTCAGAGGGTTTCAGATGCCCACTATAGAAACAAGGGACTTCTTTTCATTGAAATACAACAAACAAATTGAAAATCGGAAATTTTGATAAAGTCCTTTATAATGCCAAGCAGGGAGCCAGGACCCAGATGTTTTGTGACGAGTTTTCAACCATCAGACTGGAAGTATTAATGTTTACAAGACACATGTTGCCGTTAGTGCACAGGTATACATGTACGTGTACTGGCAAGTTACGTCATGAATCGACCGCTAGTTGTCCAATATCCCTCGATTGAACTTGCTTAACCACTTCGCGCCGGGATTATTTTGGCATTGACTGGATCCAGGCGCGGGATTGTTTTTCACTAACCTCGATGCCACACGGGTGCAGGCTGTTATCTGCGAGGAGCACACCCTGATATTTTGGGCCTCGCTCGCTGCGAGCAGGTCGCGGACAGAAATTTCAGGCCTCACTTGTTGCGTTTTTATCAATCATCCGTTCTGAATACTGCAAAACCTTTGCATATATAAATACACATCATCTGACGTGAACCAATCAATGAGTGTAATTTAGCCCCTGAAGTGAAATGGAATGTATTAAAGATATAGCCCATCATTTGTAATTTGTGCATTTTGTTCGTTTGGAGCAACAAAAGTGTTCAAAATCTAATGAAGAATACTGAACAACTAACCTGATGAAGTTTCAGCTCAGCTTCAGCTGTATATTCCGAGAAAAACAGCATTCTAGGATCTCAATTTCAAATCAAAAGTTGCTGATTCATGTTTTGAATTGTTTTGAATTGCAGCTATACGTGATGTCGCGCACTGATCCTAAGAATTATAGCAACCGCGCGCACGTGTGCGACGTGCCAATGCTTGCGCGCTTCGCAGAATAACAAAATGAACTACTAATTTAAATTTCCCACGGTGCGTCTTAAGACGCACCGTTGGAAAGGCCTTCTTTCGTTGACTACTTCAAAATGACAGCTTGCCAGAAAGAATAATTTCACAGGGAGTTTAGTCCACTTACTATCTTTCAACCAAGTATGTTTTTCAATAATAATTACGCCAGTTACATTTCGGATGGCTGCAAATGATGGACTATAGCTTTAATGTGTAGATGCTATTAAAACCTTGTCTTATCATTTCTTCATTCTGATAGAGGCTGAGACCAGACCTTTAAAGTTACGAACAATTGTCGAGTTTCATCCGAAAGAAAATTCCTTTTCTAAATTGCTATTTTGTGCCTAGCAGTACAAAAGTTATTTACTTTTGAATCAGACTTCGGCTGCAAAAAAATCAGCTCATGTTTAATTATTGAATTATTAATTTATAAATTTAAATTATTGGCCGCCAGACAATATTTCCGTTCCAGCGGGGTATGTTGGTCTGCTGGGAGCTAGTCTGCTTGCAAAACAAATCTGTTTTTGTCAAAGACAAAGACCTTCTTTTTGAGAGTGTAGCAGTCGTCAACAAAAAAAAATTGAAAAAAGGGTTGTTTTTTGAGTTGGAACAAAAAAGTTGAAAATTTATTAGGGCAATTCCACGGTTACTCACGTTACATTTTTGATGTACCTTTGAGTTTCCTTGGGCTGTAATTACCTTACTGAAAAGGTTTAAGAACTGTTATTCCCATGATAGATAGAGTAGACCTAGACCTACCTAAGCACCAAAGATGACATCCAGAAAAATGTGTTATGTATGATAAACAAGACGCACAAAATCGGTTACTCATGTTACGAAAATGTGCTTAGGTAGGTCTAGGTCTACTTTATCTACCATGGGGATAACGGTAATTACAGCCCAAGGAAACTCAAAAGTACATCAAAAATGTAATGTGAGTAACCCTGGAATTGCCCATTAAAAGAAAAAAAATGAATATGTTGAAGAGCACAGAAATGCAACTTATGCAAAAGGGACCTGCTGACTTTAGGGTACAGTTGGGCTTTTCTTGTTCAGTTTCATTTTGATTTTCCAATTTTCCTTCTGTCTTTCCCTTCTGTTTTGCAGGGTAATTACTCGGTCATTGCCTTCAGTTCCGACCAGCTTTTTCAAGTCGGCACCGTTAATCGTTCCCGTTTCCCGGCCTTTGATGAGTTTCCTTCCACCTTCCATCCAGCCCAGGGCAAGGCGCTCTGCTTCAGTCCAGCCACCCATGAAGTCTTTGTCTATGGAAATCAGGTAAGCGGCAGAATCTTTGTGATTTGGGGTTTCTGGAGAGGAGTCGAGAGATGAATTATGTTGTCTTTTTACCTACAATCTGGGCTCAATTTCATCGCGCTGCTGAACAGTTAGCAGAAAAGTTGTGCTAACTATAGCAAAAAATCATGCTGCTGCTTACAGCATTATTTCATGGCATGGATGTGCTAACAGTTGCACGTGCATGGAGATTTCTGTTGTTGCGTCACTGATTTAAGCAACTTTTTCCTCTGTGGTTAAGTGTGCTTCTATATTGCTCTCTGGCGGATATGGAATTCCATGGGATACGATCGCGCATGCACAAAATCTGTGCTTACTGAAATGGACAGAGGCTCTCTTAGCACAAAATCAGCTGTTAGGCAGCGCTATGAAATTGGGCCCTTGATTGGGACGGAATGGCTCATTCGTTACGAAAATTGGAGCTTAGCCATCAGATCAGTGCCGATGCGGTGCTGCTCAAACCACTGATCACATCATCACCTTGTGCCAAGCAAGGGCGGATCCAGGGGGGCCCAAAGGGGGCCATGCCCCCCCCCCCCCCAAAACGAAACCAATTTTTTTTTTTATGTTACATCGCAATTAAGGCAGGCAATGAGTACACCACCATCTTTTCCTCAAAAAAACATTGGTTAAAGTGGTCAGAAATTGCCTCAGATCGCACCACAGAGCGCACCACAGAGCATCTAGAATCCAAAAAAATTTCGGGGCCCTTAAGCGGGCCCCGAACCCCACGCCATAATTTTTTTTGACCCACTTTTTTGGGGGACCAAAATTTTGGGCCCCCCCCCCCAAATTGTGTTCTGGATCCGCCCTTGGTGCCAAGTCTTCCGTTCCCCTTGTGGCTACGAAGGTCTCAACAACCTGGACAACGACACTATCAACTGGCTAGAGACACCTGAGATACCTGTGCCGTTTCTGAGGGTGGACTCGAACGAACCAAGCTCCGGAATACTGTGCTGGTGCTCTACAGGGTGACTCCAAAATAATGATACGCTAAAACATTCACCTTTAAAAAAAAAAAATAAGGATCGGTGGATGTTTACGTTTTTTGTATCAGGGAAAAGCTGAGAGCTTTTTCTTTCAAATACTGAAAAAAATCATGAAAATAGCACTTTGGGTTGCTGAGAAAATGTCGGTTATGTAAAAGTAGTAATTTTTCATCCTGTACACAAAAACATTACCACAGAAAGGGATTTTCACTGTATCTATTTGTGCATGTCCTAATTCTTAATTACAAACAACATGGCACATAATATGACAAGAGTACAAATGAATTTAATGGAAATACCTTTTATTTTACACCTGAACAGGTATCTCATACTTTTTAGTCCTATTTTAAACCCTTCCAGCATGATAAATATTTCAAAATATTAAAGAAATTTCACAAATGAAGGATAATTGCACAGCCGGCTTACAGTAAAATGTTTCACTGTTTGAGGTACTTGTGTACAGGAGAAAAATGACTACTTTTACATAATTGGCATTTTCTCAGCAACTCAAAGTGCCGTTTTCATGACTTTTGTCTTCAGTATTTGAAAGAAAAAGCTCTCAGCTTTAATCTGATACCCAAAACATAAAAAGTTGGTGGGTCCCCATTTTTGTCAACATGTCTTTGTTCAAGGGCACTTACCAGCTAGCCAGTAACATTACTCTAACTTTTGATGGACTTTAATATGAAAAAAAAATACTACAGTACTTTAGTCCACCGTAACGTGCGACTCAAAATCAAACAAGTTAATCAGCTGACAAATTTGTGTCAAAGAAATTTAATTCGTTAAGCCGGCCCACCTGTCAATCCTCATTGAGATGACACGGGTCCCCGCGATGGACGCGCAGGAAACGAAACTGCGCCGCTTACATTAGCGCCGGTCATCCTTACGCGATTAGTCACGTACGAGCAGCAACTGACAAGGGGAAATGGATTTGCTGAAGCAGCGTCCTGTTTTGAAGTCGGTTTGTGTCAGTGTCTCTGTGTGTGTTGCTGTCTGTCGCACGAACCGAGGAAATTGTCGAAAGATGGATTGCTCTTTGAGCTTGGTCAGGACTTCCAACATTGGTCCAATGTGTTATGCGCACTGTGGCTGTGTTGTGGACTAACTTGGCAAACAAAATTAGAAGCCATTTTTGATGTGGCACCTTGTTTGCGCTCATGCAGCATGCGTTCTTACCCCTTAAAGGGAACATGAAATAAAATTTTGATTGCATTTTTTTTGCTTAAATCAATAAAGGATGATGTTCTTAACAATATTTTGTGTATGGCGGTGTTTATTTTCTAAGATAAATGGGGGAAAATAATTTGTGAACATGTTTGGTCAAACTACTCCGCCCCACAAAGGGAAGCTTCATTAACATAAAACTTCGCGAGGGGTATGACGCAAGCGGAGGCAGAGACTTGCCGCGCTGCGGGTGCACCGGCATTGCGGCGTGCATCATAATACCTGTACATATACATTGCGGCACTGAAAGTTTTTCTGGTGTTTCGTTCGGAATCGAGGAGAAATAACACCCGATTTTCGGCCATGCCGACAAGGTGTGTGGCTGCTGGGTGTAGCAAAACTACCAAGGATGGAGTAAGCCTTCATTTGTTTCCAGTAAATCCGAAATATCGGAGCATTTGGAGAGCCAAAGTGAAGGTAAATACCAGAGCAAAGTGGTCCGGGCCCAGTGAGTTCGCTGCCCTCTGCGCTGCACTTTGAGCCGTCGTGCTTTGAATGATGCTGGTCTGTACAGCAACTTGGGCATGCCCCTAAAAAAACATCGAGTCAGTGTCTGAATCATTAGAACTCTGATTCGAATCGGACGAATCTGTACCATTTTCATTGGATTCGCTAAGGAAAGAAGAGGACGGTCTTCGGGACTTTTACGGTCATGACGGTCGTCGTTGTGTTCATTCGACAACGGTGGCACCGTGGCACGTCCACGTGTACTGTACATACCCCATGTAGACACATTCGTACGTGTGCATATAATGCCACGTACGGGTACGCGGCGGCTGCACATACACACAGCACAGTAGCTTCGCTAATCCGTCTCGTACCCAGACGTCATTTACGGGCCCTGGATTTCTCTGCCTTTGTTTATGTCATGAACAGCGCCCTCATTTGGAGTTGCCACGAAAATCAAAAAGGGGGGGTTCAATTTTGGACGGCAAATTACCACACTAAACGTACACCAGAACCAGTTCTGCTTTTAATTCACATTTAATACACATAAATAAATGTATATATAAAATAAAATACGTTATGAAAATTTTGGACTGCATGTTTCCTTTAAGCACGGGTTATAATGGGGACATTCCTCCACACATAGAGCAAATGGCCCGCATGGCTGCACAGCCTTTGTGTGGTAGCGGGACTGCACAAAAGCAGCAGCTGTGGAACTACCCACTAGCCGTGTGCCACGGCATACCACAGCTGGCAACTGCATTCCAATGAGGATTAGCGGCCGCGGCCATGACCGCTTCCCGGGCCCATAGGGTTAAAAACAAGATGCGTGCCCATTTTGTTATCCCTATAAGGCGAAGAGCCGAAGTGTGTGCGTACTACCTGAGCACGACTCACATGAGCCTGGTGCTACCTTAGAAAATGACTGCTGCCGAATTAGTCTATAGTTGGTTTACTGCCATTATAGGGTCTTTCACACTGTCTGCGATCTCCGTGCTGGACCCGGGTCCAACACCGAGATTTCAGGAACCCCTTTAACTCTTTCGCTACGGAATTTAATTTACCTTTTTCGTCCCAACTGGACGTAATTAAAAGCTGAAAATTCCGCCGAGCGTCGATGTGGGCACCGCCATCTTTGAATGTATCTCCGTAAACAAACTGCTCACAATAACCAAAAGCGCACCCCAGCCAGACGGAAAGCCACTGGCAGCGGCTCAAACTAGGGTCAGAGGTTATACGATATAAATTATGTAGATATGGCCCACGTCATGGGGATACGCTGTTTATTCATAGCGACGCAACCGAGCCGCTGCCAGCGGTTCTCCGTAGCGAAAGAGTTAATGCTTACAAGAATCTAACATGACTTCTACATGGGTCAGGCACTATATACCTTGGTGAAATCCAACCCTGGTCGGGACCAGGGTTGAAAGGTTCTACCTGGGTAGAAAATCTCAAATCTGCAGCCAACATATGTAGAGGGTGAGTAAAAAAAAAACGAAGCCCAAATGTCGGGCCCATTGTTTTAGTAAAGTTCTGCATGTAGCACTTTCAAAATCTAGGACATGAAAGCCCAATTCATAAGCTTTCTTTTAGTACAAGAATCATTCAAATCACTCATGTGCTCTTCAAGTTACGGAGTTTTAAACACAACCACCATTTTTATAGTTCTGTCTACGGATCATAAAAAAGGCGTGTGTTCTTTCAGCAAAACGAAAACAATTCACACACATCCTTATGTGATTTTATTTAACCAATAAAAGGCGAAAGGAGTCCGATTTTGATAATCGTGGCAGGCAGGTCAAAGGTTATGTGTACGTTCCTTGCTAAAAAGTAACATTTACAGTGAGTGATGCTGCATGCACGTACTCCGGTATGATGAGTCGATCGGCGGTTATACACCAGTTGAACGTAACACAGAAGTGTTCATACCATTATGGCTTTCAACACGTTTCAGACTTCTCTACACGGATCGAGAGTTCTCAACCCAGCTCCCGAGTAGGGTTAGTTTCGACACGGGTCGAGCGCTCTACACGGGTCAGTATGTGCCGTATTCAAATGTTGTAGTGTGAAAAGGTCAGTCTAGTTTACACGTGTTGGACCCGTGTACAACACAGAGATTTTTCGTCGTATGAAAAGGCTTAGTGTCAAAAGGCCTGATGATCTACCTCCTCCCAAACTTTGATTTTTCCCCCGCCTTTTTATGGTTGCAGACTTTTGCAAAATAAAATTGAGAACAATTCCATCAGTTATTCTTAAAGTTGCTTTATGCCAAGAGCCCAAAGTTTTATCCCTGTATTAAACTTGTCAACCCCCCTTTCACCCCCCCCCCCCCAACAAAAACCCCAAACAACATGACAATAATGCCAGACACAAACATGCATGAAATGAGAAAATTGACTCATCTGTTTTCAGTATATTTGTTTTATTTACAAAAACTGGCCATAAGACTTCACCTTTTTTGGCAAAGCTACAAGTTCAAGTAATGGGTTGCTACTACCGGTAGTTAACAGTGTGAAAAGATGTAAAGTTTAGCATTAATTTGAAGATCTACATGTAATGTGGATACATACAAAGAGTGGTATACAAATAATGAATGTTTGTTAGTGCAATGGTAAGAATAATTTCATGATGTGACAGATGAAATGTTCCATTCCACGAGGCGAAGCCGAGTGGAATGGAACATTTCATCTGTCACCGAATGAAATTATTCTTTCCATTGCACGAATGTGAAACATTCATTATTTGTTTTATATAACACCTGAATAAATCCTTGTCATCTGATTGGTTGACTTTTAATAGCCAATTTATTGATGTTAAAAACTGTTTGAAAGTTTGACAAGGAAGTTCATCATATTTAATTTATAAATGCAAACTGTTCAACAGGTTGAGAACCATCATATTCAAGTAATCTCGATTTAAAACAGCGCCACCGCCAGCAGCGATGACACCGTGCAATGGAAGTTCTATTTACCGTGCAATATAACTTTGATTGCACTGTGCGCTGCGCGCCGCGCACGCGCCGTGCATTGGGACAAATAATTCAATAACATGTGATCAATGATCCACCAATCAGATGACGGGGATTTATTCAGGTGGTGTATAATTGTGGATGTAACTTGGGAAGGGGGGAGGGGCATGCAAACCATAATTGTGCCTATGATTGACTAAAACCTAAACCATACATTGTCAACAATCAAAGAAAAAAATAAAAGAGGAGCAGTGGTTGGCTAATGCCGTGAGGTAGTCATACCGGTACTTCTATTACTACTAGGACCGGACAAATTGGTGAGGGGGGGGGGGGGGAGGGGGTGAGATGGGCTCACCCTTAATTTAAGCTACGGTAGCAGCCTTGTTTTGGATGTAGCACTATGAAAAATACATTTCTAACTGGAAGTGTTAATGTTGACGTGATGAACTTTTTTCCACCAACATTTGTTGCTGTAGGAAACAATTTTCTAAAAATGTAATGACTGTTTCCTCATAGCTTCACTGATAGCATATATATTTGCAATAGCAATACTGTAATCACTTGTTCATTTACAGCTCTGAGAGTGTCATCAAAACATTTTTTTTGTAACAATCTATAAACTACATACATATTTCTAAATGATATAATAAATATTGCTAGATATTTTTGAGTAAATCTCACAAACTACATGTACATCTAAAGCTATATATCCTAATCAAGATAACATATTCAGCATAGCTGATACGATTAATGGTTATACATATAATATGTAAAAAGTGCTATGTACAAGCAAGCTCAGTTTGTATTTACAGCATACCAGTGTATCATGAAATACTATAATTTCATTTTTGTGTCTAATGGATTGGGAGGTCATGCAATTTTTGTTGGATATTATTAACAGTGCAAGATGTAATAACTGTATGATAATACTATTAGATGATGAAATATTACTTGAGACACACAGCAAGGATCTTAACCCTATAAACTTCCCCAATCCTTCAAAACCCTCTTGCAAAATGCTGGATTTTGCAGGATTGACACTATGTGGTAACAATGTGTGTCTGATTTTAGAGGGTGCACTGTGCCTCAGGTCTTGGGTAGGACCTTGTGTTGTTTATGCTCAGCTGTGCATACATTTAGGCCTAAATTGTACTTGAAATCCTCCGCACTGCTCCAGGATGTCACTGGCTCTGCCTCGACATATTGACAGTGACATTGGAGGATTTTGCAGGATCGAGGCAGTCACCCCTCGAAGGACCACATTCAAGAAATAACAGAGGATTGAGGCTGTATGCTATTTTCACATGGAGGAAGTTGGAGTATTTTGCAGGATTGAGGTTGCATCCTAGTGAAAATGCCTAGGAAGTTACCGGTCAAATGTAATAGACACCATTTGCAAATATTCAAAAATGAAACTGTGAAAATATGATGAAATATCCTGCTTGATAAGTACATAAATCAGTCCTTCTGTTTTGAGGCGTGCGATCACACCCCCACGCCATCACATGCCTAAAAGTTTCCCGAGAAGTGCGAATAATCGCACGCCTGAATCCCTCAGTACCGCACACCTGGGCGTACATTTACAGCATAAATATACTTCATAATTTGTGAAAAATAAAGTACGTCAGTGAAGAGAAAATGGCTTAATTGTAAACCAAGATGAATATTATGAAATGATATCCCAGCTTGGACCATAGAAGCACACACCTAGAAAAATCACTCGCCTAGAAAATCACACGCCTAGAAAAATCACACGCCTAAAAAAATCCAGGTGTGCCTTTTTCTACACACCTGTGATTTTCAAACCAGAAGGACTGATAATATCATGCATCCTGTGAAATCATTGCACCTACATGTAGCTGCATTAAGAAGGCTCTAATTTTCGAGAAAATAAGAGGAATTACCATTATTTCCTCGCGGTGGTAAGGACCAAACCTCTACGCTTTCAACAGAAACCTGCGGTTTGCGTCGAGAAAAATGAAGTGCATTATCACAGTTTTCTTTTTTTCTGGTGAACATAACATTTCAACAACTAGTATGTCATCCTCATACATGCTTTGACCAAACTATATTGTCTTTACCCTTCGACAATCAACTGTGCTGCATAATCACGTACGTAAGTAATTCATACCATAGAGACTAAACAATTTTAGTTGGCACTAGTGCCTGCAAAATATACAAAATATACAGTTACTTTCCGTCTTCTTGAGGAACGAACTTGCACTTGCAAAACTTGGCCAAAGCAGTTCTCAGTATTACATGTATGTTTGTAAGTCTTTCTGTACTTTCTCATCGAAAAAGACTTCACAAATCTTAATTTCTCCAAAATTCTGTTTGTTAGGAGTATTTCCAAGGCCTTTCCAAAGCCAGAGAGAGAGAGATAATTATGAATGATGAAAGAAACAGGCCGATCGTTGAATTAACATCCCTGAACCCTAAAGAAAGTCAGGTCATGTTTGTCAGCATTAACATCATTAAGGACATGTACTATTCCAAATTTTTTTCCTCCAAATTTACAACTTTAAACTTTGAACAGCGGTGATTAATTTCTTAAAAAAATTGTTCACATCCTTTAATTTGTGTTACTATTGAGTACATCAATTACCATCGTTCATCAGTAGCACATTTTAGGATCAAGGATTACCGGCGGAATTCTTGGATCATGCCGAAAACGAATTTTCGCTTCCTCAAAATGCTGTTTTCCCTAATTCAGAAATGCGATAACGGGTGAAAAAAAATGGTCGTGCTAAGTAATCACGAGAAGTGTCCAGTATCCGCCAAATCTAGCTGTTAATGCAGTTGCTACAAGTTACACGTAAACCTGCTGCACGTGTGTATTAGTCACTTTGTAACGTCACATACGTGTACGTCAACACGTAGACCGCGGGGAATTCTTGGAGATTGAGCAAATAAACCCAAATCCGGCATTTGGTGATAAAAACTGCTCACCGCATAATTGAATCAAGTACATGTAAATGTCAGTCAACTTTGCAGGTGTGTGATCTCAAGTGTGATGGATTACGGGGAAATAACAGGCAACTTTTTTTGACAAAAAGTTAAATTGTCTTTGTCACACTCATCGTTTGCCATTCTTGATCGGTATCAACTCTTCATATTGGCTGCCAAACACGAGGCTCCACCGTGCAGAATGGGAGTACAGCACAGTGAATAAAAGTTGGGCGTCAATAAAGTAAGCTAGACCAAAAGGTGATCTTGCTACCGTATGAGGCTCATCAAATGGACCTTTGAGGTAAAAATGTTTTTATAGCACACTGTGCCATTTTTTTTTAGTCCATTCGTCTAATCTTCATCTCAGTTGCTTTGTAGGAATAAAACGGCAGGCTTCCGTCTGTTTCCTTCCACTCAATCCCGTCGTCCCAATCTCCCTGGTACATGTATTGTGGACTGTGGTAGTACAACCCGTTCAGGTTGGACCGATCGCAGCTCTTAAACCACCACCCGCCGTTGTGTACGACGGCGCAGTTGATACTATCGCTGTCATCGTTGTCGTTGTCGATGGTTGTAAAGGGCTTCTTGTTGTGATAGCTGAGCGCGTCGGTCGCGTTGCCCCCGAGAAACTCCCCAAGTCGCAGCTTGAAGGACGTGCGCAGGGAACCGATTGAGAAGTCGGAGTATTCGGCGTAGAGCCGCTGCCCCTCCCAACCCGTCAGCTCCACGCGCAGCTTGTAGTTGTACTGCTTCGTCAAGATGTGGATGAACTCGTTGCCCAACCAGAACTCCCCGCTGAGGGAACCGAAGCCGCGGGTGTAGAGATGCCAGTTGCGGTTGAAGTCCTCGGAACCGTCCTGTCGGCGCTGGAGGAGCGTCCAGCCACCTCCATCGCTATCCATGTCGCAGTAGACTGGGATGGGCTCAAACACTCCTCTGGGTTTGATGTAGTATAGACCGCTCTCGGCTAAAGGTTGGCGAATCAAGGCTTCTTGACAATCCAACGGTGACGGACCAACTGATGGAAATCAAATAAAGAAAGAAAAACAAAGATGGTGTGAGGGTTTGCATGGTGAAGTCAGCAATACTTTGCAGTTGCACCATGCAGTTGCACCATGTGAAAGGAAATCTCTTGTGAGTGTGGATTTGAAGAAGAATCGGTGGAAAGTCAAAGTTTCAGATGGTACAATGTTCTGCCTGTCATCAGGAGAAAAAAAATGAGAATCACTCTATTTTCAGGGAGAAAATAAGTGCATTTAAATGTTGATTGAAAATGTTTAATTACCGACTTGATTTCTTAACGAAATAGTCACATACATACATGTGAATGCAATGTATGATATAATTTCTATGTGCTGTAACTCCATCGTATAATTAAATGATTACTCATCAAGTATGCTTTAAATTAAAACCAGCCAACTTTTACAGCTGACACTTTTTTGGTCATCGTAATCTGCTGGGCTTATCAAGAAAAACCAACTCGTGAAGGATTTTGAAAATAATTAATTGAATATCGGCCATTAGGTCAAGTAAGATCCCACTTTCAATATTGGCACTTCTCCAAAACTGTCCAAACAGTGGCAGGATGCTCTACATATTGTTTCTGCCCCCCCCCCCCCCGACCCACATTTTGCCATGAGTGGCATAATTTTGCCATGAGTGCCATGAGTGGCACGATTTTGCCATGAGTGGCATGATTTTTCCACATGAGTGGCATGATTTTGCCACATGAGTGGCATGATTTTGCCACATGAGTGTCATGATTTTGCCATGAATGGCATGATGTTGCCATGAGTGGCATGATTTTGCCATGAGTGGCATGATGTTGCCATAAGTGGCATGATTTTGCCATGAGTGGCATGATGTTGCCATGAGTGGCATGATTTTGCCATGAGTGACATGATTTTGCCATCAATAACAAATAAAAATGTCTGCTTCTAGGATGTGGTAAAAAAAGGACAAGCCAATTTCTGTATTTCCAGGATGTCTTCAACTTTATTTTCCCAGCTGTCAAAACTGCCAAGATTTCAGTTCACTGTGTACTCTCAGTCGGAAAGTTACAGGAAATGACCTAATTTGGAGGATGCATTTTTTTGCCAAATGGTGACTGATTGGAGAAATGTTTCTAATGACAGATTCATCAGTGCTTTATATACGATTTGCAGTGCAAGGAAATCACAAGGGAAGAGAGAAAGTTGCCATATTTTTGACATGTCCAGTCTGACTCATCTGCTTGAGCCGTTTCCTCCTCCAAAAACGACACTTCTAATCTCACTTCCAAACTGTCTTCAACAAAACTTGGCTCATCAGCACTTGAAAAGGAATTTTCTCGTAAGCGCTGGGATGACACCGAGTATAAATAGTGTTTTTGAAATTTTGTGAAGTGCAAAACACAATATTCTTGAATATAGCTTGACTCGGGCCTCATATGGTCAGTGCAATATGTTTAGGGTAGTTTTTGAACCTCAGGAAGTGTAGCCTATAGTTGATACAGTTTGGACTACTCAGGATACTGAGCCAGGAAAGTACACACATCACATACACAGGGCCTTTTTAAGTGTTCCCTAGGCACTAGGCGCCAGTGTTCCATGGTCCCTACAAATTTCATGTTGATGCTTAATTGTACAAAGCAAGCCAGGCCAAACTGGTAGCTAAAGCCTGTTGGCACCGTGCTTCAGAAATGTTGTTTAAATTCGTCTTACCAATTTTTGTAATGGGCTTGTCCAGTATCTCCACCGGCCCATACTCCCTTTTCAGCAGTTCGTTTTGGCGTCGTTTCAGTTCGTCAACTTCGTCGGTGAGTCTCTGCATCTTGTCCATCAGCTCGTAAACCAGGCCACTGGTACTGCCGCCAACCTCGTTTTCGAGTTCCTGGACCCGTCGCTTGCCTGATGGCTTGGCAGTGACCAGGGCTGTGCAGAGCAGAGCAGCTACCAGAACTAGCAAGACTTGCTTTGCCTGCAGAAAATAGATTTTAGACAAAAACGTTTATTAATTCAAGTTCATCCGTACATGGTATTTACCCTAGATGTATCTCTCTTGGCACTTTTTTTGCAAGGAACCTTCCTACCGGTACAACAACCAAAATCCTGTATTGCGCAGCCTGAATTGAATGGCACTTTGTATTTGAATATTTAGGGGCATCAAACCCCATTCACTGGGCTCCATCTACTTCTCTTAATACTGCACAATTTTCCAAAACTTTCTTTTGATTTTGGAAGGATATGGGTAACTTCTCCAATCTGCAAACTTCAGAACAACCTTGAGTCTGGCTCATATTTCACTGAAATTCAAAGCCAAAGGCAACTTCAACCCTGGCCCTGGTGAAGCCAACCTTCAAGCAGGATCTACGATTAACCATATAGTGCAACTCTTTTTGCTCAAACCAATGGTAGTCAACTCAAGTTGGAGCAGTTAGTCAATTATTTAGTCTCCTAAGATTGGTCTCAGTGCTTGGTGTAAAAGCCGCGTGTGTATCATAATGCGCAGCAGGGAGCAAGGACCAAGACGTTTTGCGATGAAGTCTTCGCCATTGTTTGGCGAGAGGCATTCGCACGTTGCTATTACAGCGCAGGTGCAAGTTGCACCACACATCAACCGTAAATTGACTAATGGTCCTCAATCGAACTTGCCTCAATCTGACATCCAGGGAAATTTGCAACCAAAATGCCGTAGTTGAAATGTGTTCAAATTTGAGATGCGGAGTACATATGTACATCACAAATTCATGTTTGTGTTCATTTTTTTCACGGGGTGGAACTGGGGCCAATGACTGCAAAGACATTGACTGTGGAAAGGGTACTTGTGCTTGGAGTCCATGTACCGTTTGTCTTTCCAGGATACAAGTGGCAAAGGGGGGGCTCTTCCAGCAGAAGGGGGGGGGGGCGTTTAGATGGAGGGGGGGGGGGGGGACTCAATTGGTTTCAACAGTTAAAAGCTTGAGGAGCATGAATGCCAAAAGTAGGGGTACCCCATCCTTACCCCACCCTGCCCAATCCTTCCCCCTTGGAGGGGGCACTCAATTTGTTTCAACAGTAAAAAGCTTGAGGAGCATGCATGCATGTCTTAAGTAGGGGTGCCCCATCCTTCCCCCACCCTGCCCAATCCTTCCCCCACCCTGCCCAATCCTTCACCCACGCCCAATCCCTCATTTCTCCCCCCTCCCACCTAATCCCCTCTCCCCACTCAATCCCCCCCCTTGTCCCCCTAGTTATGCCACTGCGGAACCCCTTTAAGTATCATCAATATCCCGTTTATAGATAGATCCACCGGGAGCAGAGAATGTGTCCAAGTTGAATCATCAGTCCCCACACAAGGCAACATGCATCACCTATCCACAAGCTCTTTAAACATGACACATGATCACCATCCACTGTATCTGGTGTCTTCCTTTTTATAAACCAGCTGCAAATCCCTATCCTGTTTAAATTGTGACATTAGGGAGGCAGCGCCTCAGGATATGTCTGAATATGGCTGAGGTTAATGAGGCTTGGACCAGAGCCTGTTATATGTTTTTGAAGTTTTGTGACTTGCCATACTTGCCAGTGACATGACATGAGTGTATTTGTAGACTAATGTACATTCTACTAACTAACGTATCTTTGTGAAGTGCCTTGAGGAGCGTCTCTTAGACGGACTTTGGCACTATATAAATTGTTCTTCTTATTATTTTTATTATAAATAACAAAGTTTCTCTGGTAATAGCTTCTCTCAATGACCCATGGGACTCAGCCTACCAGTACATGTACATCTGGGTACTGGAAAGTCAGCATCACCATTGTAGTAGGCAAAGATAGTATAGTGTTACGCGCAACAGGTGGTAGACAAGCCTTCAAATTAAAAAAAGATGTGATGGATGCATAGAGCTGTATTCAATTACTACAGCGCTAACTCCTCATTCTTGCGCCCGGAGACGCTTTGAAGCCGTCCTGGGTGCAGACGTTCTGAATTCATGTGCGTGTTTGTAGAACATAACGAAATTAGCTGGATTGAATTTTGAATGTGTACTCTACATGCAATGCGCAAGTAGAACATACGCAAACAACTTAAACGCGTCATGACATTTAAAAAAACGTCACGGCAAAACGAATGTGCAGTGCACGCACGCGTTGCGCTGTTTGCGTAGAGCAAAATGAAACACTCATTTGCTGATCGTGCGTTTTGGTTTTGGGTGTATCAGATTCGATGACGTACCAGTATGGAATACAAACGCTGATATGCAAATAGAAGTACAAAATACGTACACAATTTCTAGTTCTCCATAGGTTTGTGTACAAACATGGATGCGCCCATCAGGCATCTCTTTATACAACGAGTTAGCGCTCTAGTAATTTAATATAGCTCTATGGATGGATGGCAAAAATTGTGAGAAAAACCAACTTTCTGCATCGGGTCTTCGGTCATTCACCGTTGTTGCGTCATAGACATGGATAACAAAGAGTACCCTAGACACGGCAACAAAGGCTGTGGTCACGCGCTCTTTATTATGTTATGCAATACGCGCCTGGCTGATGTTGTATTACAAAATACTATATTCGAATTGACCAATCACACGTTTAGTCCTGATTTGGGAATGAAATGACGTCACGATTTAGCAAAGTCGACTCCGATTGGTTGAGGCGCGAATCACATAAATCTGCATGCTTTGACATATCAGATGTTATACAGGAGACTTGGCTCCGTGGATAACGGATGATACTCAGACTAACCCACACCTGGGTAACACTTGAACCAACAACCTCCTGTTTATACCAGTGAAAATGTCTTAACCACCAAGCTTGCCAGGGTAGGCAGTTAAATGCTAGAGTTCCGAAGTTTTCCTGCGTATTCTGGTTCACATGCACGCAGAGTTTGAGTGTGTGTTGACACCAACACATTAACCAGTGCGTGACCCAGAACAAAGGCAGATGACGTCACTCTACGTGTACACCGATAGACTTCATGCATTTGGATGTCTTTTCAGAGGCCGTTCTTTGTTATATTAATCTAGTAACAATGAATGCACAAATGGTTTACTCTTTACTCATGCCTATCCACGCAATACAAAACCATTGCCCTCTACACGTAACTCCGCCTTAACGTATAATGTCTATTGCAATGGCCCAAATTTGGTGCACTGCCTGACTGACCAAGGCAAATTTCAAGCTGCTATGAAGTATACATATGGGCAATTCAAAAGTGTTGTGAATGGAAGTGTAATGTCCGTGACACTGCCAATTATAAACCATGATATCTAATTAATGATTCAGAGAAATGATCCAAAACCTCTAGTATAATCTCCTTGACCATTAGGCCCTACTACCGGTACTAGATGATGGATGTATAAGATTTGGAAAAAACAGTTTCAGGTTTATTAATTCACTGAGCTCTTAAATGCTCTGTCATAGACATTACATAATGCTGGAAGCTCTGTCATAGACATTACATAATGCTGGAATAGCCCATTATACATGTACATCGTACACTGGTTGGAACTTTTATTACAGCTTATTTCTGCTTGGAAAAACTTGCAAAACAATAGTTTTCTGCTTTCATGTATACAAATGAGCTCCAACCCAGTTCTGCTCAATACACACACTGTACAGGTATTAATATTGTTGGGTTTCTTAATACACCTGAGAGAACCAAGGTGGAAATCACAAGGAAATGGCTCTGCGGTGGAATCAGGAAGAGACAATTAATTTAGGGTCACCTGTCCCCGGGGCGCTATATGACTTTCCCTGGCTAATACAGCAGGTGTCTGTCTTGTAGAGAAATGTGGTTACGCCCGATCCCTACCCTGGGGCGGGTTGCTTTTTTGGGGGGTCTGGTCTGCTTCAAGTTCATGCAAGCCAGAGAGGAAAGGTTTGTTTTGATGTTGCTGTGCAGGGTTTTCCCGATGGTGTTTTACATTTGTTTTTGACAGTGAATATTTTTGGATGGGCCTTGTAAGGGCCTGTGATTCTACTTGTAATCATTCTTTGTAATAATAATGAAACTTTTGGTTACTCAAAAAGTACGGTACTCATCAGGCACAGTGTTGCCCAGAAGCCTATAGAAGCCTAGAGAGGAGAGTGAAGAAATGTGCAGTATTTAGGAGTGGGAAGAAACAATGTAAAGAAATTACATGCCCCTCCCTGGCCCCTCTGCCTTCCCAGTCTAATGGATGGAAATTAATGGATGGGACGTAAAGCCGTAGGTCCCGTGTGTTGTGTAATGCATGTTAAGGAACCCAGTAACACTTATCACTAAGAGAAGCCATTTGCCCTGGTATTTCTGGCAGTGGCTACTTAATGCACAACTGCACCTTGTAAACCCTTATAAGGTGCTTCATAAATTGGGTGTCATATCTCAAATACTTCATTTACCTGTCTTTAAAATAAGTTCACATTAATTAGTGCCTTGAGTACCTACCGTAATTGTTGGTAGATACATGCGCTATGTAAGACTCCGGTATAATTAACTACAGTGTATTTGTAGCAGAATCCTGAATGCTACATATACCGGTACTATACGTGTGTATGAATGAGTTTCTCAGTTAAAGTTTACATAAATTTCTCCCCCCCCCCACCAATCAGTCTTTGTGACCAAGTACATTAATATTAAACTGAGGCAGATGTTGAATGCCCACCCCTCACCCCAGCCCTGTAGAGTTGTTGTTGAATTCATTTCAAGTCGGTCACAAGTCTGGCCAACTTGGAGTAGATCACAAGTCCTATCACAAGTCCAGTCTCAAGTAACAGGAGACAAACACTAACAGTGCCATGGCCCAGTGGTTACGGTGTTTGACTCATGTACGAAGGTGCGTGGGTTCAAACCCTGCCAGGAACGTGGTGTTTGTGCCCTTGGGCAAGACACTTAACTACAATTGCCTCTCTCCACCCAGTAATATAAATGGGTACCTGTGAGGGTCGAGGACCGATTGAGCGCTGATATCGGCTGCCGCGTGGTCCCATGGCCTGATGAACTGGGTGATAATT